GCTCTCATCAGGAAGCATGAACCTCGTCACCCGGAAGGGTTTGACATTTTTATTTCGTGGACTGGCAATGACGTTTACGGCAAGTGGGGCTACAAGGCCTTTACCTGGCACCACCAATCGCCGTGGGTGAAGGAGACGGCCGAGATGGCTCGCAAAGCCTTCGAATGGCCGATCAAGCAGCTCAAGAAGGTACAGGAAGATGTCGTCAAGATCGCCGCCCTAAAGGACCGGCCAGGGGTGAATTCTGTGACAATGATGACCCTGAGAACGGCTTTATGTATGGCCTGCCGGAAGAGTACGACGAGGAGATGACTCGCCACACGAAAGTGTTGGCTGAAGCAGGTGTGAGGCTGGTGGACCCCAACCCGATTTTGGGCGCCACCGACAGGCCAGACAAATTTCACACGAACTTCACAGCCGACAATGTGGCTGCGGTGGTTACCTGGTACAAGTCGCTGGTCACCGCGACGGTGTTCGATCGGGCAGTGACTGACTTGCGCTCGGAGCTGATTGCCAACCGCCGAGAGGTGGTCTTCTTCGAACACTTCCATCTGGCCAAACCAGATGCCAGAATCACAGTCCCGCCGCTCAAGGACATGCACGTCTGCGCTGATACGCAGCGTGAGGAGCCGCCAGACGTCCGGGGGGGCGACGAACAGATTGTGTTGAGCGCACCATTGCTGGCTGCACGTCAGGATCTTCTGTGTGCTGAGCCAGAGGAGCTCACGGATACTGATCGCGCCCTCTTGGACACGACACCTGGAGCCGAGAATGTCGTCCAGAGAACAGAGGACAACTCGGACCCCTCTGTGATGATCACCAAGCTTCAGATCAGCAGTCACGGTGAAGAGGCTGCGACCGATGAAGAGATTGCCTTGGCGAACGCCCTTGGCGTCTACGGTCTTGATCTGGAGATTGGTCGCACCTCTAACGAGGATGCTGAGTCTAACAAAATCTTCAAGGGCGTTGAGGAGCTCACAGAAGAAGAACTCAGCAAGCGGCCTCGATTCTACGCGAGGGGCTCCGTCGGCATTCAGAATTTGATGTGGGATATGCAGTTGGAGGAGGCCAAGAAACCACCTGTTCCTCCGAAGTCACGGCCCGCTACCGCGGAGCCTAAGGCAACTGGTATCCTACCTTTGGCCACGAAGGCTCATGCTGTGCCTCCTGCTGTGCCGCAGGCTGCATCCTCATCGTCGGCATCTGGCACGCTTCCACCCAAGGAAGTTCCTGGGAAGTCTGCATCATCTGGAGCAAGGCCTTCTGAACCTTTGCAGCCACCGCCTCCAAAGAAGGTGCCAATTACCGCTGTGAAGTCGGCACCAACGCCGAAAGCGGAGCACACTGCCAGTGCCAAGGCAGAAGCATCACCTCCCGGAAGGGATGGTCAGTTTTGGTTGTCAGGCCTGGATCTGCCACCCTTTGCATCTGATCATCGCCACCTCAGTGAGGGCAAGCGCTTCGCACTCGGCAAGAAGTGTGCATTCATCCTCAGAGGCTTCACCAACAAGCGTGAGTACGGGAATCGCACGCCAACGGTGTCGATTCGCCGGAACGACCTCTCAATGGACTGGGAAGAGTTCATCGATGCTCTCAGCCAGATCTGGCACGGACTTAAGGTCTCCCAGATCTTCGAAGTCTTTAAGACCCCAGTCGACGGGAAAGCCCGCTACGAGCTCTATATTCAGAAGCACAACAATCAGGAATTTGACGTGCTTAGGGCTCGAGCGATCCATGGGCATTGGTCAGGGCTTTTCGGTGACGATACCGAGCTCGCCGACATTCACTCCGTGGTGCATACCTCTGTGCCATGGGACGCCAGTCTAGCGACTCGGCCTGCTATCCATCCCTTCGATATGTACTCCCAGGAGTTTGTCGATTTCCCTTGCAAACTGGGCTACCACGGCACCTTTATGAGGCACTTCCCAGAGATCATCAGACACGGATTGTTGCCAGGTGGTGCCGCGCTCCACGAGAGTGGTAGCAGAGCTTTCGTCATGATGTCGAAGCTGCCAGAATGGCAAAGGGATGATAACGCAGGCCTTCGCGAGGCGGCGGACGTCGAGTTCGCCATTGATCTTCAAATGGCTGTTTTGGACGGCCTCCGGCTTTTCGAGACTCGCTCCGGGGCACTGGAGACACCCGATTGGATAAGCAATCGATATCTGGTTTACGCTTATCAGCGGGGCACCGCGGAGCCTGTGTGGGTCAATCCGGCCTACCAGGCGTTCCGCCGGAACATCGACTCCGCTCTAGCGAGCTGGAACAAGGATGGCACTCACAAGTACATCTTTGGTCCGGACCAGTATGCTATGGAAAAGCACAATTGCTTTCTCGACTTGCTGGAGAGCGCCGAAAATCTCACCATCGGTGAGTGGGCGCCTGCTGCTATCAACTGCAAGACCCCTTTTCGCATTTCGGCAGACACCTTGAGCGAGGTCGGAGACGAGGTCATTGAGCGGAGGAAGAACAACGATCAGCTCGTTGGAACCTTCGATGGCTCGCTTGGGATTGGCATCCACGTATGGCCATCCATGGAAGGCAAGCGAATCCGACTTCGCCAAAGGGTCGAGCCAAGGCACTGGATTAAGCAGGAGTTGATCCTCTACCCCGGGTACCATTGCAGCTCATGCAATCACAAGTACATCGACGGTATGATCTCCTGTCCAGGTTGCCAGCGTCGTCTCCTCGAGATGACCGACCTTGCGATTATTGCCGAGCCCGACCGACTCCGGCGAAGCGCCGCCCGAGAGGGCAGGCAAGTCAACATCATCGACTTGCAGCCATCTGCGGGACTCGCACGCCAGCGAGTGAAGAGTCAAGGGCCGGAGGAAAGGGAGCGCATTCAGAGCACGGCATCTGGCATCCGCCAAAAGGTCCTTAACCAGCAGAAGAGAGCGGAGAAGCTTCACAACACCACTCCGCAGGGGCAATACAGTGTGGACCCCATCACTGCCCACAACTATGCCAAAATGGGTCTCAGCTTTCACACCGTCGAGGCGCTGCAACGCTTCGCTGACGTGAGGCTTCCCGATCCTCAGGGCAAGGGAAAGGGGCATGGTTCGTCCACCTACTACGATGCCACAGGGAAGGTCGCCCTCCTTTGGGTGACAGGCCAGCTTGAGATCGACCTCCTCACGGAGTGTCTGATTTGTTTTCATGATCGGTTTTACACCATCAATGAGATTGCAGTTCTCATCAAGGCTGTGAAGTCGAATCAGCATGAGTTCTCAATCCTGCAATACGACGGGGAGAAATATATCGTCGTGCAGAATGAGATCTTGCCGATCATGGCTGAGCTGGCTACTTTCTTCCAGGCGCAGTTGCCTTTGAGTCGGACCAGGATTGAGAAGACCAATCCTTCTCTTCGCACCCAGAGAGATCTGCAGGTACCCGCTGAGGCGCAAGGGCTTGGCAAACGCCAGCTCAACGAACTTTTAGCCAACACACCCTACTATCGCCGGTACCAGCAGTACTACATGGACAAGCGTATCGGGGAGAGCGGCCATGTGCGGTTGACCACATCGGCACCTGCATCTGAGCGTCGCCCTCCTGAGCCGCCTGCTTCTCCTGCAAGGCGTGGTCGCAGCTCTGACGAGCGTGCATCGGGATCTACTGATCGCAATCGCACAAGATCTCCGATTGCAAGGCACCGCCCTACGGAGGTCCACATTCGGACCAATCCTGGAGATTCTGCCGGCTCTTCTACCGATCGCATTCCGAGAGAGCCTGCGATGCCGCCGCCCAGGCGCGTCAATCGCGATCCGTCCGACTACATTAGCGAGGCCGATTGGGACGCCATGCGTGCTGGAACAGGATTCAACGATCCAGCACCGGAAACGGCTGCTCCCGACGCCACTATGGATGGTACTGTGAGCGAGGCACCGTCCTCTGCCGTTGATCTCGGCACAAGGCGCGAATCGTCCGAGACCTATCGCCGGCGACCCCATGATCCACCGACCTTCGGCCTGTTCTTCGAGACAAGGAATGTCTCCGACCGAGAGGTCCGGATGCGAGAGACTGTTGTCAACTTCTTTGAGCAGCTCAGGGTCGCGGGATTGTTGTACCCCCACTTCGTTTTGGGGAACGACCTTGCCGGCAACATCATTGATCCTGCGCTTGCCAGGCGAATTGACTGGCACCGCGTTGACATGTACCAATGGGCGGTGTTCGCGGCGATGACCGAGGAGTACATCCAGCCGACTTCCGTGGTGAATGCCATTCCAACTCATGGAAACCCACATGGCTTCACGATTCTGGACACCTCTCACGCCCAATGGTATTTGTCAGGTTGGGTCCATGAGGTCTTCAATTACCGGACCAATCGTCGTGACCGTATCTATTGAGGTCATTTGTTCAAGGCCCATCGTGCCGAGCTTGATCACCTCCCTATCGGGATGGTATTTTGAAACATTTAGATGCCGTCTGGTTAGCAGTGAAGTGAAATTTAAGCGTCGGCACCGCCCTAACGGGTTGGTAGCAGTCCAACTCGTACATCTTGCAAGGGCGCAAAACGTTGGCCGCATAATTTGCTTTTGTTTGCAAGTTGTTTTCGCTATCACAAAGTGATATCCTTACGACGGTCTAGCGACTAGTCTTTCCTTCCATCGCCTTCGCCTCCACCGTTGCACTAAGATGCGCGGGGGGTGTATTTTGTGGAAGATGTAGCTAGTCGACCGTACCTACCGTCGTTCATTGGCTCAAGAAAATATGCGTCTGCATTCTGGCTGTTCTGCCTGTAAACATAAAACCCTCGTCCACAAGAGCCCTTTTCAGCCGCTTGAGCGGCCCCCAGTCTTTTACCCTGTAGGATCTTATAAGGGTCCGCCAAACGCCAAACTCTAAACCCCAAACCCTAAACCCCAAACTCCAAGCCCTAAACTCTAGACCTAAACTTTTACACCCCAAACCCCAAACCCTAAACCCCACACCCTAAACCCGTACCCGTTAACTCTACACCTAGATCTTTAGCCGAAGCCACATCCTCTGGGCCGCCGCAGGAGCCGCCGTGGAAGACCTGAAGGATAGCCCGATGGGGTCCTTTTTTTTTTGAATGGGAGTTTCCGACATTAGCGGTACATTTTTTGTTGTCGTTATAATAAGGATCCTACTATGTAGGGTACTGGATATATTGGGATCCTTTTCTGAAGTATCGATTTTGGTCTAGGGTTTAGGGAGTTAATTAAGGGTTTAGCGCAGGTAGTAGTACGAACGATAATCATGACAAACATAGTCTTAAGAAGAATAAGAGTCTTAACAAGGGTAGGTATATATAGGATAAGAACAAGCACAGAAGTACTAATAATCTTACCAATACTCAGAATACAAATGATAGTAATTGTAACAATCCCAGCAACAACTGGTAGCAGTTGTCGTATACCCGACATTCCTATCCTAATTAGACAAGCCCATGCACATATTCTAAGGCCTGTTCTTCCCCAAACAGTGTGATCACACTATGCCCTAAACCCTAAACCCCTAAACCCACAACCCATGGGTTGGGAGTGCAGGGAAATTCGCCGGTTCACGGGAAGTCTCGGTGGGGTCTCCTAAACCCGAATGCCCAAACTCCTCGACCGTTGAATTTCAAGGTTCAGGGCCAGACGACAATGCGTAGGACCCAGAGTAGGCCCTTATTCCCTTTTTGAGGGTTTAGGTTCCCTTATAACCCCCTTTAGCGCAAAAAGGGCACCCTTTTTGTTCCTAGGTTACTTTTAGGTCTAGATGCCTTAAGCACCCGGAAAGGCAAAAACTTGGACTTCAAGTCGCCGGGCTTGGAATGTAAAGTCGGGCTGAGGATACATGGTTTCGGGTGTAGAAGGGCGGGTTTACAGGGAGGTTAGGACAGTGTCGGGTTTGGTGCCGGATTTGGGTTCCAATTTTTTTTATATAGGGGGCCATAATAATTAGAATAGGGTTTGGGGGTATATTATACTATAATTATAATAAGGAACCCCCACAACAGGATAGGTAATTATTAAGGCTTCTATAAGGGTTCTTGAGGGTCCGACTGTCGTGCGCAGGATTCATTCTCGGTCTTCGGACGGATCCAGCGCCTTGACTCTGGTTAAAGATGTGTTTTGCTGCGGTTGATGATACAAATCCCGCATTACCCATAAGGAGCGTACCACAATTCCCCTAGTTTAGGGCCCTCAAGGTAATGCAGGAGTAGTTATGCAGGATTTGTATCATCAAGCGTATGAAGTGTTTGTTTCTTGAGGTTTGCCAGTGTAGGAAGCAACCTCGGGATCCTCCTATGTTTGCGGTTCTAGGCCCAGGGTTTCTAGGCCCAGGGTTTCTTAATCGGCTTCCGGTTTAGGGTTTAAGGTTTACGGTTTAGGGTTCAGGGTTTAGGGTTTAGTAAGTGTGGGTTTTGTGGTCCAGGGCCCCTACACCCTAGCGGTGTAAACCCTGAAAGCCCGATACACCAACACCTTAAACCCCAGAAGCCCCAAGCCGCATAAGCCGTACGCCTCTTCTTGAAAGCCTTGATGGTAACTCTTCGACCATCCCTTCTCATAGCCCTTACTCCACCTGCTGCTCAGCCCTGTATATAACCCTTTCAAAAAAATAGCCCTTGTAGGAACCCTCACAGTATCCCTAAACACCCAAACCCTACATAGCCTATGGTCATACAAGCCCGATGATCCCTACAAGCCCTAAACACCCTATAAGCCCTACAAGCCCTATAAACCCCACAAGCCCCGTAGATCTTATAAACCCAATAAGCCCCATCAACCCTGCAAGCTCTAGAAACCGTATAATCTCGGCGACCCAACCCCATGAGCCCCAGAAACACTTAAATCCCTTGAAACCCTATATGGGAGTTAGGGTACCTCATTTTGGGGTCCTAATGTTGAGGATCCCACTATCTAGGGTACTACATCATTTTCGGAAACTCCCATATTGCATTGTGATTTAGAAGGACCTCCTAACCGGGGGTGGCAAATGGTGCCTGCCAGTAAGGGTTCTTGAGGATATGTGGTTTGGAGCCAACCTTTGGACTCCCTTTGCCCCGCCGTGAACGGACCTGTGCTCACCAGCACTCACTGGCGCTCAGTAGCGCTCACTTGCGCTCACTGGCACTACTAGTCCTCACTATGCACTCAGCAGTAGAAGCTTGGGAGAGCCCTGCTAAACTGTACTAGTCAAAGCCAACGTTCTGCATTGGTGTCCGGCGTAATTAATCCTGACTTGCTAGTCCTTAGCAAGGCTTTGCTATCCTCACGGACAAACCAAACAAAGGCTTGCTACGTTCTACTAACCCTTAAACCCCTAACCCCAAAGGACCTAAACCCTATACCCTGAAAGAATCCCTATAGATCCCTTTAAAGGGACCCTTAAAGGAGCCCTTATAACTACCCCTGAACCTCCAAGCCTATACCCTTATAGAATCCTTATAGACCCTTAATGGAACCCCACTTATAACTACCCCTAAACCCCCCCATTTTAGAATCCCTATAGATGCCTAGGTATGCTGGAATAGACGGTGGGCGGTTGCCACCGGCAGCCGTTGCTCGGCCAGTCCCTTCTTCCACAGGCCTGGGCGCTTCAGGACTTGGGGCTCAGGGTTTTTTTGGTTGAGGGTTTAAGGTTTGGGGTTGAGGGCTTAGGGTTTGGGGTTGAGGGTTTAGGGTTTGGGGTTGAGGGTTTAGGATTTGGGGTTTGGGGTTTAGGGTTTGGGGCTCAGGGTTTGGGGTTTGGGGTTTCGGGTTGAGAGTTTAGAGTTCAGGGTTGAGGGATGTGGGGCCTGTGAGGCTTCGGGTTTAGGGCTTTTGGGGTTTAGGGTCAGGGTTTGGGGTTTAGGGTTCAGAGTTTAGGGATTGTAGCGATGACAATATAAATCCAATTGCTAATGTATCAATCAGAAGAATAGGAAGAATAGTACTGATAGTAAGTACTAGTAATGACTTTGAAAAGTACAGATTACATTTTTGTGAGTGGCCAGGGTTCAGGGTGTATTTGAGCACTTTGTTAAAGGGTTCCTAGTTCCTTTCGGGTTTCGGGTTTGGGGTTGAGGGTGCAGGGTTTGGAGTACACAGTGCCATTGAAAGACGTTCGGGTTTGAGGTTTGTCGAGTTGGGGCTGTCAGACCTGAGTATGGATGTTTTGGTTTAGAGTTTGGGCTTCGGCCATGGCCGGTTGAGAGTTCAAGCATTTTCAATCCTGCCAGTATTTCGTCCAACGGATTTCTCTGCCAACCACTGCTGTGGGTCTGTGCTATATGCTTTCTGTTCTAGGGGCTTAAATTATGCTATACAGGTAGGCTCCTGACTCCTCAGCTTAAGAGGACAAAAGAGAGTGCCCCAATCCGAAACCCTAAAGTGCCAGAATTCCGATGGCAACGGTTAGGGTTTAGGGTTTAGGGGTGTAAAGCACCTTAGCTTTTAACTTCCGGTAGCCTACAGCCATCGGCTAGGACCAACCCGCAGCGACTACGGCGGCGTCAAAGGGCGCCCCGCTTTCGGTGGGCCCTCTTTTGGCGGCTCTTCCTTCGGCGCCCCCGGCAGGGGAACAGCTTCCCGGACTGCATTCAAAGCGGAAGTTGTGGAAAGTTGGACAACGAAAATACAGGATTCTGTTACGACCCCATCGTCAAAATGTAGATGGACTTGTCCATAGTCTTCAGAAGTCTGGGTCAGAAGCTCCATTATCACTATGTCAGTCGATCCTTTTCTCTTGGGGTTCTCAATGTAGAAGCTTGAATACTTGAATAATTAGTCCTACTATTCCGTAGGGTTCCGTATTATCAACCTGCAAAAATAAGGCCCCAAAGCCCTATTCTGATTATGAAGAACCCTGGCCCTCATCCCTGAGCCCTGACTGTAGAACCCAACCCTTTGAATCTGCCCTGCAAAGGTACTATCGGTAGTTGCAGCACTAATCCAAGGTTAGCCTCCCAACTCTTCGGAGGTACTTCAGTGTCGAGGGCAGCGCAAAAGCTTGAATAACCCGGCATTGCTAAGAACCCTTTCTAGTAGCCCTTATGGTAGCCCTCATACGGTTGATGATATAAATCCTGCATTACCTTAAGGACCCTAAACTATGGGAATGATGGCAAAGTCCTTATTATGGGTAATGCAGGATTTATATCATCAACAGTAGTATCCCTAAACCCGAAACCTCCCACCTCAGATGACGCCAGAAGTCGTCGAGGCGCAGAGACCGCAAGAATCGCTCAGCCTGCCAAGGGGCTTACAGCTGATTATTATACAGAACTGGGTTCTTGTTAAAGACTTTACGCTAAGTTAGCACAATGAAGAAACCACATTATTTACTATACAACCCCATTATGGTAACTTGAATCGAATTAAACTCCTCAACAGGAACCCAGACAAGAGAGCTGCAGATGTCAAGGGTAACCAAGACTCTCGAAAGCTAAACTAACATCCAATGCCCCGAGCCCGAAACCCCGAAAAGGAAACGCATGTCCTGTAGTGACGGTTTAAGGTTTAGGGTTTAGGGTTTGGTTGAGTCTGTCCATTGGTGAACCATGGACTCCTTGCAGTCAGAGATCCAGTAGTGCCAGGGAACTACTAACTGGGATGCCCAGTGGTACCTTTATTCCCTTGTTGTAGTCCTAGGTTCCTTATAACTTATAACGTTACCCAATACCAAGAGGGTGTCCTTTTTATTCCTAGGTTACTGGGAATCCTAGCTAATATCTTCGAAGCTACTAAACTACTAAACTGCGACTGCAACCACACCATTACACCACCACCACCACCACCACCACCACCACCACCACCACCACCACCACCACCACCACCACCACCACCACCACCACCACCACCACCACCACCACCACCACCACCACCACCACCACCACCCCCCCCACCACCACCACCACCACCACCACCACCACCACCACCACCACCACCACCACCACCACCACCACCACCACCACCACCACCACCACCACCACCACCACCACCACCCATAAACCACTTAATCCCTCAACCCCTAGCCCATAAACCCTAACTCCCTCGACCCCGAAGCTCATAAACCCTAGCCCTAAACTCCACAAATGTCTTCAGTAGTTAACTCATAGGCGATCGGAGTTCTGGTTCCTGGTTTCTGAGGCATCAAACGACTGCAACCCCTCAAAAAGTCTACACCTCAACATGCAACCCGAAATCGTAAAACCACAAATCTTCAAACCTGAATACCCCCCCCCCCCCGCGCCGGCCCACCGCACGATCTGAACCCTAAATGAATAATAATAATACCCCGAACCCTTGCAGAGAAATCATCGAAGTCCTCTAAAGTTCGTATAAAACCGCAAACCATAGAACACCAGCGAGGCTACTAACACCGTACTAAGCCAAAAGCCCGAACCTTCTAAAATCCAAGCCAGCCAACCCAGGTAGAATGGTTTTGGCACCCACCAAACCCCAAACCCTCAATCCTGACCACTGTTGGGGGGATCCCTTAAATATGTCATACGGTAAAACCCAAAAACACATCCCCAACCCGAAGCTTTAAACCCTATGCCTTATCCTAAACCTTATAAACCCCAAACCTTAAACCCTACACCCGAAACCCCAAACCCATACCGGAAGCCCTACAAAATGCTGCTTCTGAGCCCTCTGAGGTCCGCTTTGACACGCCCGAGATCGCGGAGGAGGCGGCTGCTGCATTGGACGGTCAGGAGCTTCGAGGCCAGCACGGGTTTGTTGTTTACGTTTGTCTTTTTTAGTGTCTCCTGTTTTCGTAGCTGTTCTTCTGTGTTTTCCGCTTTAATTATCATTTTTGCTCAGGGCTTTTATGGCTTTGGGGTGTGAGGGTCTTCACGTGCTTTTTGTTGGAGTTGACGGCTTGCGGAAGGTTTTATGGTTCCTACTGCTTTCGATGAGTTTTCGAGACTTGCGGGCTCGAACTTGGGTGTGTTGCTTTGTGACAGGTTTTTTCGTAGGAGCCTAAGGGCGTTAAGCCCGATCCTCAAGCAATGGATACCAACAGCGCTATCTAGGAAGCCCAAAAGCCTAAACCTTAGACCCTACAAGCTCCAAGCCTCAAGCCAGTACACTCACTATTCTTTCAGCCCTCCAAAAGCTCACGAATCCGGATTCTAAACGTAAAAGCTTTAGAACTTCTTTAGGGTTTGGTGGGGTGGTGGGGGGGCGGATGTCTGCATCTAGGTTGTGATGGTTTATTGTAAGTTTCGGGTTTTGAATTCAGGATTACTAGACAGCATACCCTTCGGAAAATGGATGGCGGACCCTCCGAGTAGCTGAAGCCGCACCACCCGGTTACAGCAGAGCTTACAGCCCCTTCCCTAAGAAAATGCTAGACTACGCCTTTAAGCTGTGACGAGTTCTCCATACAAGTGGGCGCCTCCCGAATCCCCGCTTCTTATACCATCAGAATGCATAGAAAGCCCTCCACCCGTAAACCTGAACCCCTTACACTTAAGCCGTCCTCGAAAACCCTGGTCTCTACTCCCCTAGGATGCCCAGTAGTACCCTTATTCCCTTTTTGTGGCCCTAGGTTCCTTATAAAGTTACCCAACACCAAAAAGAGAGGCCTTTTTATTCTTAGGTTACTGGGTATCCTAGTCCCCGTACCTAATCCTTAAAACCTACAATCCTGAAGCCTATGTCAACCCGAGAACTGTCATGCATGCACCCTCGGACTTTCAACTCCAACCCCCTAAACCCTACACACCGAAGCTTAAATCTTCAAATCCCGAAGCCCTAAAGCCCGAAGCACGCAACCTCAAAACTCCAAACCCCTAAATCCTAAACCCCAATCACAAAACCTTAAAGCTCCAAATCCCTGAAACACTAAAACTTAAAGCTCCAAACCCTAATCCCACTCCGAAGGCTCCGCTAAACCGCTAGACACACAGCCTCAAAACCCCCGGAACCCCAAACCCCAATCACTAAACCTTAAAACTCCAAATCCCTAAAACACTAAACCTTAAAGCTCCAAACCCTAATCCCACTCCGAAGGCTCGATCATCTCAGCCCGCTTGGATCCATCCTCCAAGGCTCCTCCACACGTGCAGATTTCAGGGTTTGGGCTTCCTTTAAAGGAACTATGATAAGAATAGCAACGATTGGTTTCGGGTTTTTCTAGGGGTTCCTTTAAGAGGGGTCTATGTGGGTTCCTTTAAGGGATCTACAGGGGTGTTCTGGGGTGTGGGGTTTAGGTTTTCGGGTGTAGGGTTTAAGGGATTAGGGTGTAGGGTTACAGCGAGGTCTCAATTGTTTGGGACTTAGGAAATATCAGGTCTGGTGTTTAATTAGGGTTTAAGTTTAGGGGATTAGGGTTTAGGGCTTAGGACTCAGGGTTTAGGGGTGTGGGGTTTAGGGTTACGAGTTTAGGATAGGGCTTTTTCGGGTCTTTCCAAGGGCTGTTGTAGCAAGGTTTGATTGGCTTGGATAGCAGGGGTCGCAATGATCTAGGGTCTAATTTGTAAGGCTGTTTTGATAGGAGAAACGTAACCTTGCACAGGGTTTTGAGATCTTTCAGTAGGTTTAAACAGGCACTATAAGGGAAAAAGGAGCCCACTCAGGCTCCTTATGAGAAAGTTAGAGCAACTTTTGGTTCGTGGCGCCAGGCACCTTGTAGGGTTCTGGCCATGTCGTCTTTACAGACAAATTTGCCGTTGAATGCCGTGACATGTTGTTGTACAGTCATCCGCTACAACTTAAACTCTACACAGCACTACAGGAGTGCGATGTTCCAACTATCAGACCATCAGCATTTAGGGTTTAGGGTTTAGGTGAGCATGTCCATCTTTTCCAAAGCTCTTGCTTTGCTGGTTGCTAGCGCTTCGTCAGTCGTAAGCCCGAAAACCGTAAGTTCCCATGTCGCCCTAAATCGCTAGATTCCCGAGACCCTTGGGTTTAGGGGTTCCTGTAAAGGGGTCTTTGAGGATTACTATAATTGATCTATAAGGGTACTTTAATCAATGTAGGAACCTGATTAAGAAAGCTTGGGCCTTTATTGGGGTTCCTTGTAAGACGCCTAGTATTCTGGGTTTATAGGCCCAGGGTTTCTTAATCAGGTTCCTATACTAAACCCCTATAATACCCCTTATAGTAATCCTTATATAGGCCCTTTATAAGGAACTCTTTACAGGAACCCTAAGGGTTCTTACATTAGACTCCCGAAGCTCCAACAGACGAGGCGAGCCTAAACGGCTGAACACCCAACCCTCACAACGCAAAGCCCCTAAATGCCGGAAACAACAACAAAGTAGGCCCTAGGTTTGCGCAACCAGTTGGGAGGGAGAACAAGCAAGAACGCACTAAAGTTCTAAAGCTTTATGGATGGTTGTCAAAATTATGGTCCCCTTTGAGTCCCTATTATAATACGGCACCTGTTATTTAGGATACCCCAAAAAGGGACCTAAATTTTGTCAAATACCCATATACTTCAAACCCAAAATCCTCTAAACCCCTGCGGGCAACCACACAACCTTAAGGACGAAATGAACCCTAAAGGGGTTTAAGGTTCATATACCATATAGGGATTCATAGTATACGGGTATAGGGCCCCTACTTTTAAGGGTCATGTATTCCTTCAGGAAAGCAGCAAGACTCCGCGAGCCGAAAACTCCCCAACCTGAAACTTTAAAGCATCGGGAAGAGCCGGTTAAGGGTTTAGGGGTGCGCAAGGGGGGTTTTTGGGGGCTTATAGGGTTCAGGGATTTATGTTTTGGGGTTTAGTAAGGGGACTTAGCATGATTCATGAAGGTCTGTTCTTTACTTAAACGGCTTTGGGGTCTCTGGAACATGGTAATCAATTAACCCGTAAGGTAGAAGCCAGAAAGTTGGAATATGATTATCCTAACCCTTCTATGGTAAATTATAAGGTATCCTACCATGAAACCATATTCCAACTTTCTGGAGTTCCCTGTATATCATATGGCCCGTATAGCAACCCTTTAAAAAGTAGCCCTTCTAGAAGAGCCTCAACCCTAAACCCCTTATGAACTCCACAGAAATCCTAAAACCACTCAGCCCGAACACTGCTGGGTTTTTTTTGGAAGTTGCAAGGCACCTAGAGCCCCAAACCCTCGGGACTCGAAACCCTTTCGGGCGTAGATCAAATGCTCATCGCTTGGGTACGGCCCCCACTCAGTACTGTAACAGTTGGATAACATTCATAATATAGATATATAAGGCCCTTAGTAGTAGCCCTTTTATAGACTGTTACTGTATGGGGGCCGTACCCAACTCAACGCACTTGACAAAGTTTAAACCCTAAAGGCCAAACCCTAAATTTTCCTAAATCCCAGCCTGAAGGATGGCACAAAAATCTTCGTCGACAACCTGGAGCCTTCCGTGGAGTGGCAGGATTTGAAAGACTTCTGCGCGCAGGCAAGAGCTTCAGGGTTTGAGGATTTAGGATTTCAGCCTCTGGGTTTCAAGGTTTCAGGGTGTAGAGTTTAGGATTTCAGGGTTTCAGAGTTTCAATGTCTAGGGTGGCCGTTGGCGTCGCTTATAATGATAGTTCGTACACCCCACATCGTAACTTAAAGGTCTTACAACTTGGTTTCTCACGGCGCACCTGTCTGATCCTCATGTGAATATACCAAAATATACCTGTTCTGATCATTATTAAGCTCCCTATATTCAGGATCTATGTTTCCGGAAAAAACCTTAAACCTCTAGTTATGGGCTTAATGTGTCCGGCTCGAAGAGCAGAGCTGCATCTTTTTTGCTGTTGGGGACTTGGAGTTGAGGGTCTCCATCGGTTTAGGGTTTAGCGGTTCAGGATTTAGGGGTTTAGGGTTTAGGGGCCTAAGTTTTTATCGTGTGATTATGAGAAAGGAACCAAACGGAGATGCCGTTCGCATGTATTCCGACCTCTATCTTGGGAGTCTCGGGAGTACACTGGAGGAAGTGGACTGCACACCTGTCTTCTAGTTGTGTTGTTCCCCCCAACCAATTTTTTTCGACAACGTCGTGGTACTGAAGCGGGATTCTGAATGTTAGCCCAAAGGCTCCATGTACCTGTATAGCAGATACTTAAGCCTTAAAGGGGTCACTATATAGGTACTTTAAGGCCCAAGTATCTACTATATGGGTACATGGAGCCTTTGGGTAGAGGTTACGAAGGTTAGGGGTCACAGCGTTTCCTGCACGCGGAAGGCTCCTTGGCGCCAAGGTGTCCACGGTTTAGGGTTTAGGGCTAAGATATGGGCAATTTATGCAATTTTCTAAACTAGGGTCCCTTTGTAGCCCGTTCTATATTTGGGGGGCTGCAAAGGGACCCTGATTTGGAGAACTGAACATGTGAAGGGGTGAGTTCCCACCCAATTTGTTTCGACGTGTTCTTTAGCAGGGCCGCCTAGCCATTGATAGCTCGAAGCCCTCTCTCTAGACTTGTAAAAACTGAACTCGTAGCCGTAAAGCTTTAGCACCCTAAACCTGTATACCCGAAGACTGTAATACTCTAGTACCCCCACAGGCCCCTGCCTGTCACTCTATCGTAAACCTTCATACCCTGTTATCATAACACTGTCCGCTGCCATGTCTGGAAAGAAGTGGCTGTGACAGCTGTCTCAGCACAGCAGCCAGCACTGCTACTTAAAGAAGAGAAACCAGTGACAAACGCAATACCCCCCAGCACCCTAAGGGCGTGATGCCTGCCTTCAGATTCAAGCCCTAAGAAATCGAGCACAGGTCGGTGCCGTGGCGTTCGTGAAAGTGGACAAGCTGCCGATGCCTGCGCACGGCGCCGGTGGACTCAGCTTTGGGGTTGCAAAGCCCCTACCCTAAGGCTCCAAAGAAGTTCCTTTTTGGGGTTCATATATAGAATCCTATAAAGTAATCCCAAAAAGGAGCTACTATGGAGCCTCTGGGTAAACCTAGAAACATACGTACATTTAGAGAGGGGTTTGTTCATTACGTTACGTTCCTCGGTTGAGGTGTAATAGCTATTTCTGGAAAGAACCACCCAACTGTAAAGATTGAGGGGGAGAGAGTCGTTCTGGGGCTTAGCTGTCCATGGCTTTTGGGATTATGGTTTCAGTTCTCATGGTTGTGGCCCGCACGCTCACTAACACACAAGCAACGGCAGTAGTTACTTGTAAGATGATTTCCGTCGGGCTGACGACATACCCTTTAGCAGATCCGCGTTGCAGTTGTTTTTTGTTGCAACCTCTTCGAAATCCAGCCGAAAAGCTGAAACGCGACTTTGAGGTACTCTGCCACTGCGGCAAGAGCTGCAAAAGGCTGTACTTATGCTAGACAGTTTTCGGAATCACAAAAGTATGAATAAACAAGATATCGCCAGGACTATAAAAGGTAGTGACTTGGGCTCTGGCGGAGAAGATTCATGCGATGTATGCATGTACGCATGCAGTTATGCAGTTACGGATGTATGCATGTTTGTTCGTTTGTTTCTTGTCGCTTTGAGGATTTCGTAGCGAAAGCACGGACCTTGTCAATCCTGAAAGTCCTGCTCAGGGCAAGGGTGTCGGCGGCCCCCCGCAGGTTCCGATGATCGATTTGGAGGGCTTCCGGGGTTCAGTGTCTAGCTCTGTGTGTCTGTCTATCTATATCTATACATCTATACATACCTACAATATATATATATATATATATATATATATATATATATATAATGTATTCATGCATATAGGGGGTTTCTTCCTTGGTGGGTGAGGGGGGGTGGGAGCTTTTGGGGTTCAGTGACCCTATGAAAGCGACTCTTGGGATCGATGTCCTGAAAGCTTATACTAGAGTCCGGGTAGGGGTTGTTAGGGTTCAGAGGTTGAGGGGTGGCTGGAGGTTTGGGGTGTATAGATTCAGGGTTTTGCTTTCAAGAAAGTCTGTTAGCACTCTGCTTGTGCGTGGGACGCATTGATATGCGGGAGGGGGGGAGGCTTTGGAGAGTTCCGGGCTGCTTCCTGAAGCCAGCCCCCCCCCCTCTTCGAGAAAACAGAACGCCTGGAACTCATCTGCAACCCTACACATCCCCTTAAAACCCTAAAACCCCCAAGCCCTGAACCCTGAACCCTAAACCCTGAACCCAAAAAAACCCTAAAGCCTAAACCCCTCAACCCCTAAACCCTAAAACCCTAAACTTCCTAAACCCTAAAACCCTAAACCCTAAACCCCTAAACCGCTAAACCCTAAAACCCTAAACCCTCAATAGCCTGAACCAGTAAAGCCCTTCAGCCGTCAGAGAACTACAGCTCGGCAGGCTCCCATGGCCTCGCAGCCGGCACCCTGGGCGGAGAGCCGAAGGCCTATTAAACAAGGGGCGGGGGGGGGTGGGTTGGGATTTGGGAGCTTCCGACAATTAGGGGTACCTTATCTTGGGGTCCTTATAATAAGGATCCTACTATGTAGGGTAACATATTCGGGTCCCCTGTTTACGGAAGCTCCCATTTATATGGGTTCCTTTAAGGGCTCCTACAAGGGATCTATAGGGGTTTTTAGGGGTTAAACAAGGGGGGGGTTGGGAAAAAAAAGGGTTCCGGTAAGGGCTCCTATAAGGGATCTATAGGGGACCTATAGGGGTTTAGAGTTCAGGGGTTTAGGGTTTTAGGGTTTAGAGGTTTAGTAGTTTTAGGGGTTTAGGGGTTTTGCGGGTTCAGGGTTTTGGGGTAGGAGTTTTAGAGTTTTGGGGTTTTAGGGGTTTAGGGTTTAGGGGTTTTAGGGTGTAGGGGTTTAGATTCAGGGTCAAGGGATTTGGTTTTGGTTAAAGGCTTGGGGTTCCGAGATTTAGCTTTAGCTTCAGAGCTTAGGCATGTAGTTTAAGCCAAGTATGGGCCCCTAATATGGCCTTTTTGAGCGAGTTCCAGGGACCCTTAAGAGTCTGTGCAGGGTATACCCGCCGGCACAGCCGCAGCCGACAAATCATCCTCGTCGTTTTCGGCTGGTTCCTTCTCGTTTTTGATGGCCGAGGATCCCCTGCTGAGTGCAGAACTTCTGTTTCCTGTGTCAGCTGGCATGGAGAGAGCACAGCCAAGTCACTGTCGAGGTTTGTCCTTTCGACTGGCCTTCTGTTGAACAGATTGAAGCCTGATTCCCGGCTCGGAGTCATCCATCTTGCCCAGGTGGTGAAAAATGCAGTTGCGCTTTGTGAGTTTTGGAAAACAATTACAGACACGTACTTCGAGTCTGCAGCATCAATCATGCGAAGCCTAGGCCCTGATCCCGAGTCTCCGCACCCTAGGCCCGCCCAGCACATATACCTACGAGGGGCCCAGGGTTACGGGCCCACAATTACAAGCGGCCCAGGGTCTGAAAAGTTGATTAAGGTCCCTATGGCTCCATGTATCCATATAATAGATACTTAGGCCTCAAAGTACCTATAGGGGTGGTTGTCAAAAGTATGGTCCCTTTTGGGGTCCCTATTATGAGACGGCACCCTAATTATTTAGGGTGCCCCAAAAGGGACCATAATTTTGACAACTACCCATATAATTAGTGACCCCTTGAATATCTACTATAAAGGTACATGGAGCCTTTGCGGGTTCAGGGCAGTTCAGCTTAAACGTCGAGCCGCTGAGCTACAGGCTTCCGAGGGCCTGTAAAGCACACTATCAAAGGGGAAAGGAGGGACCCTTAATGGGGACCCCTACCCTATAATGGGCTATATAATGGGTATATAATAGCTATGTTAAGGGTATATCCCTAGGGGTCCTTATTAGGGGTAGCTCCTTTTACCCTTGGACACTAAACAAGCAGGACAACCCGAAAACCTTGGATAACACAAAGCCCTGGAAAGTAACCCTCAACGGCCCTGAACCGAAGATCCCCTAAACCCCAAACCCTAAACCATAAACCCCTATAGATCCCTTGTCGGAGCCCTTCAAGGAACCCTTATAGATCCGTTTAGAGGAAATTTCCAACCTGAGCCCTAAACTTCACGGTTTCTTGCGATTTGTCTGGCCAGGCCGGCGCCACAGTTTGCCAGGCCAGCCGAGAGAAGCAGCTTTGGAATCCTGAAAGGTCTCCGGGTTTAAGGGTTTAGGGTTTAGAGTTTAAGGGTTTAGAGTTTAGGGTTTAAGGGTTTAGGGTTTAGCTGTCGAGCCAGACATTACACCTTTTGGGCGATTTAGGGTGTAGGGTTCAGGGTGCAGGAGGCTTGGCCCTGGGTTTAGAGGTTGAGAGTTGCAGGGTTTAGGCTTTAGGGGTGTGCCTATAGTCTCCATTGTAGTTCCTTTTCTGGGTTTAACCAATTTTATATTAAGGATCCTAAACGGTAACCCCCGAAAAGGAACTACAATGGAGACTACAGGTTGCGTTTTGGCGGGTTGCAGGCGGCTGTACATATCTGATCGCCGGCATCATTACCATCCTCGGAGTGCCAAGATTTCGGGACGGTAAGCCCTCTCGCTCCACGTGGGTTCCTTTAAGGGTTCCCTGAAGGGCTCCATGCAACTACAAGGAGTAAGGGTTTAGGGGTGCATTTGCCTATCTAGTATAGACTTGGGCCTTCAAGTAGTCACTATGTAGGTGCTTCACGGTCTCAGCATCTGCTATATAGGAGACGCACGTGGCGTCTTAGGGTAAGTGTTCAGGGCGTTCGGATTTGGGATTCAGCTGAAGCAAGGGACCCCAGTTGAGTGAGGTACAAAGACCTTCAACAAGCATCCTCAATCCCAGAACCCCCTCCGGCCCCTGTCCCCCCGCCCTCATTATGCAGTATTGGGAGTTTCCGAAAATTAGGGGTACCTTACTTTGGGGTCCTTATAAGAAGGATCCTACTATTTAGGGTATTACATTAGGGTCCCCAATTTTGGGAAACTCCCAGATGCTGCATAAAGGGTCTCTAGGTATAGTAAGTAGCAAGTAGAGTATAGGGAATCCCATGAATCATTACTAAACCATGTTCCAACTTTCCGGGGTCTAAGAAGCTCTACGAATCTTGATTTGAAGGAAGCCCTGAAGCCGAAGAAACCCATGGAAGTATAGTATATACAACCATGGTAATAAGTAAATATAAATGCATATGTATGCATCTTTGTATGTATATATATATATATATGTATACACATAGTGTGTATTATATATATATATATATATATATATATATATATACACACACATACATACACATGTACTATACATATAGTAGAAGAAAAAGATATACATATATATATATATATACACATACACACACATATATATATATATATATATACGTATGTATGTATGTATGTATGTATGTAGGTTTTTGGTTAAGGATGTAGTGCCTACCCGACGACCACGGGATTTTCTTGTTCGGTGTATCTCTTGGGCTCTGGGCTTAGGGTTCGATTCTAGGCATCCCGGCCGTCAGCCTTAAGTGGGATATTTGCAGCTGCCCGTGCGCAGCTGCCCGGTAGGGTTCAGGCTGTGTGAGTGCTGATACTGTACATATTGAAGATTTTGGATGAGGGTTTGGGGCGTCGGGTTATGGGCTTAGAGTTTGGGATTACGGTTTAGGACTTCCTTCTCAGAGTTTGGAAATACTTCGGTTTTCGGGCTTCAGGTCCACATCTTGGACCACCAGTGCGCCACATTCCCCTCCAAAACCCAAGCCGTTGAGATCTGAACCAGTGAGGGGGGCAAACCAGCAGAGAATGCATACATAATAAGGCTCCTAAACTCTACATTCTAAACCTAATCGTAATCCCCAATTCCTAAACCAAACCCTAAATCAATCGTGAGAGGGTTTAAACTCAAACCTTACAGATCTCAAACCTTAAACTCTAAACCCCTTCCCAACCCTAAACCCTACATCCTTAAACCCCCATAGATCCCTTACAGGAGCCCTTAAAGGAACCCTTATAGATCCCTTTTAAAGGAACCCCTAAAGAACCCGAAACCCTACATCCCCAGCCCTTGCACCAACCGATGGTTGAGGCCTTCTGGGGTTTCCCCAAAACCCTAAACCCAAAGCCCTAAGCCCTAAACCCAAATCCCAAAACCCAAAGCCTTAAGCCCTAAACCCTAAACCCAAAAGCGTAAACCCACAACCCTAAACCCTAAACCGTTTCATCGGACGTGGCTGGGACAGGACAGTCCCGGACAGAGGTTCCACAAAACTAGGGACCCCAAAAGCACATGGGAGTTTCCGAAAATTAGGGGTACCGTATTTTGGGGTCCTTATAATAGGGATCCTACTATTGAGGGTGCATAAGCACAAGGCACATTGCAGGGATCTCCGGCTTCATTCTAAGGGGTCTATATGGGATATCCATGTCCTTCTTTTTGCTTATGTGCTTTTTTGGTTCCTGAGTGGTAACCTTTTGCCCTTTGTATTTTGGGGTCCCCTTATAAAAACCGAATAGTAGGGAAAAGGGTACCCTTGTTAGAAAGGGGCTATTCAGCAACCCGTTAAAACAACACATGACCATTGTCAGGCGTCCGCCGGCGCAGGCCACTAGCCGCGGCGAGGTCCGCTTCGAAAGGCCTCGGCTGACGGTGTTTGGGGTTTAGGGTTTATGGATTCCTGTGAAGGGCTCCATAAGGGTTCCTTTAAAGGGATCTACAAGGGTTCTAGATAGGGGTTTAGGGCGTAGGGGTTTAGGGGTTTACGGTTTAGGGGTTTATGGGGGTTTAGGGGATGAGGGGTGAGGGCTTGGGGTTTGGGGCTAAGGGCTTTTGTAAGGGCTTGCTAAAAATCACTATGATAGACCGTGGTAAGCTTTGTAGAAACCTTGAAAGAAATTCTATAAAGGCTTCTGCAAGGGTTGCTGTAGCGAGTTTAGATGGGTTCTAGTTCTAGAAGTGCTATTAGGGTTCCATGGTGCAGAGAAGAAGTGTGCCAGACTGGTTCCTTGAATGCAACATGTGTGCTCGACATGTTGCTTGATCCGCCTGGGTCTTCCCGACAGGTGCTTGCACTGCGTCAGTGGCTTCGTGTGTTCGGTGTTTGCGGTTTCCATGCAGCTGCAGGAGAATCTGGATGTCAGTAAGGCGGGCGAGAAGAAATCGGTCGATCCAGAGGAGAGCTGCGTGTGCCGTTGGCAACACAAAGGCGGGAGCAGATGCGATCCTGATCTTTGTGAATAAGAGAGGGATGGGCGATGCGAAGGTATGCATTAAATTATGTTCCTTTGCAGAGGGGCCCTTCCTTTCGGGACAGTTGTATCGCATGCGGATCACGCCACCGTGGATGTCCAGGCCATGGGCACTGAACAAGCTGAGAGTGAGAAACGCGAGTTGTTTCTCGCATGGTTTTCTTTCGGGACGTGAACCCCAAGGACGGAACTGAACTGTTTTGGCGGCTTGGCTTGCCTAGGAGTGGCACCGGAAGCCCCCAGATCGAAGATGCTCCCTGAAAAACCGCGACGTTTCTCAATGTATGCCCAAGTCGACGAAGTGGGGGAAAACAACATCAGATGTGGTCTGCAAGTTGGGGAACGTTGATGACTTGCTCCCGACTGTGTCCGCCGAAATGCCTTAGTCGCAGTCAGCAGTCTCTTGTGGATGATCCGCCTTACATGCAGCCTGGCCGTGGCCGAAAGGACGAAAAATGCCCTACAAAGGCGAGGATCCCGCCGCTCAGCCGACAACTTCATTCTGAAGTCGACGCCACCAGAGTCTGAAGCTTAAACCTTAAACCTTCAACAGACGCTTGCCAAGGCTTAGTCCCTACGCCACCCCTCAAAAAAAGGGCCGCCCCCTTGCGGCCGCTCCTGCTGTTGCAATTGCTCCGTAGTGGCAACAGCGAACGTATCAGAGTTCTTTTGACATACAACCATGTGCAAGTCTAGCCTCACGGTCCCAAAACCAGCTGAGATGTGGATCCGTACACCTGGCTTTGAACCGTAAACATGTACCGTTTCATAGAGCCTTAGACCCTAAACCTGAACTGCCCTAAACCCGAAACCCCAAACCCTTATACAAAGCCTTAAACCCCTAAACCCTTAGACCCTAAATGCTATAAACCCTAAACCCAAAACGCCAAACCCCAAACCCTAGTCCTGCCTGGAGGAGGGAAGATGCTGCTAGAGCCGTGGCCCAGCTGACGCTTTGCACTGCAGATGGTGTGCGCACTCAAGTGACGACTTCTATGTTTAACGCGTTCTAGGGTTTAGTTTTAAGGTGAATGGTTTAGTGTTTAGGTTTCGGGCTTCATTGAGATGCGGAGAGATTCCTGGTCATTTTGTCTGCTTTGCGGGCTTATGGTTTCTAAACCAGGGTTCACACTGGACGTAACTTGCACAAGGCTAGGGTTTAGGGTTAGATTGGGCTACCTTGCCTGGAGATTGTCGCCGAGTTTTCAGAAGGATGGTTTAGAGTCTAGCAGGCAAGTTTCAAGACATAGCGGTTTCGAGCTCCCTGCTGCCCAGGAATGGAACCATGCTGGGAGCTGCGCAGATGTTCGCGTCGACCTTGGTTCTGTTTCACTTGGATCGGCGGGGGTGCCATGAGGTGCCAGGAAGCCCCCAAACCGCCCAACAAACTCAAGGCGGATGCCTCTAAAAATATAGGGATTCTTCGCATGAAATGCAGTGCATTCCAAAAAACTACGGAGTCGTGGTGTCCCTGGGAGGAAGAAAGCTCGCTATTGTCTACCTATGTTACTGTTTATCTGCACAGACGTACACCATATGAACATGCGAAGCAGATCTGTGCATAATAGTTCGCGTGCATGTACTACATATAGCTAGAAGCACCCGAGTAAGCAAACCTGGCCTTACATAGTAGGGTCCTGATGATACACAATATATGGTGCCTGTGATTCCAAAAGAGCCCCATGCATTCCCTAAGCCCCGAAGACTAAACCCTAGAGGCCCTGGACCCTCGGGACTGTTTCCCAGGTCCAGCCGGATGAAAGTTCCAAGGACTGGGCTTGGGACTGCGATGTGCGGCTTCGCGCTGATTCCGAGTTGGTTTCTCCCTGGAAAAGCAGGCAGTAAAACCCTGGACCCGAAACCCAAAAAGTCGCAGAATTCAAGGAAGACTTACAAACCTGCATGATTTTCCAGCTTCATGAATAAACTCAATCTTGCAATGCCTGTGAACCTTCGGCCCCGCTTAAACCCTACGTGAACCCCAAAGCCCGGCTTGTACAAGCCAGATGAGCTTGTACATGGTCGTACACGCATTTTGCAACAAGAGAATGAACCCTACCCCAAACCCTGAACCCTAAACTCATGGTGTCTTCCCGTCCTGCCCTGTCCGGAAAGGACTAAGGCGGCTAAGGTAGCCGAGGCCCATGCTAGAATGCCCGGAGCCCTGAACCCTCAACTCTAGAACTGTATTCTCAATTGTAAAATATATTTTCCCAAACCCGAATTCGTAAAGCCCTCCTCGCTGTCAGGACGGCACCCGCGTAATCGTCAGCGGCCTCCCCACTTCAGTGTCCTGGCAGGTGGGGGCTATAGAGCGCAGACGCCCCAAAGCTCGAAAGGCTTCGGTGTGAGGGTCTCAGGGCGCGGACTCCCTAAACCTTGAACTCTACCCAGAGGCTCCATAGTAGTACCCCTTTGGGATTACTGTATAGGATTCTATATATGAACCCCAAAAAGGAACTTCTTTGGAGCCGTAGGGTAAACCTAAAACTTTACAACATTTAAGCCGTGCGCCTCAAGGTCCTTAACTCCCCTTTGATGTAAGAGGGCTTATTGAACTGCTCCGCTTAGTCTCCCGGCCTGTTCAGGGCTTAGTCATTGTCTACCCTAAGGCTCCAAAGAAGTTCCTTTTTGGGGTTCATATATAGAATCCTATAAAGTAATCCCAAAAAGGAACTACTATGGAGCCTCTGGGTAGAGGTCTGCTTAGTGACTTAGTGTTGCTTGTGGGGTTGTAACGTAGAGGACGCGCATAGGAGTTCAGCTGCGAATTCCCCAAGGCCTTGACCATAACGTGAAGCTTTAGTAAGTATGGGTTGCAAGGTGATACTTCATGCCCATTACCTCAAGACCCTCCACCCAAAACCCTAAACCTTGATCCCAAAACCATACACCCCAAAGAGACGACCTCAAAACCCTAAAGCCCAGCATACCCTTCCACGCTTTGCGCACCTCTCGGAGGCTTTGCACAAGCCTAGTGATCCCTTCCGCCCCAGATCCTATGAGCCGCTAAGGATCGGGATGTCGATGGCCCTTGGGGGTTCAGGATTTTAAGGTTTCGGGCAAGTTTAGGGGTTCACGGTTAAATTTTGTTGATTGTAGGGGCTGTCAGAACTGTAAGGTTTGAACTGAAGATCATGCGCGTAAAGTAGCATGTCTTGTCCTACGAACGTGAGTGCTTGCAGTGCTAGCTCGGTTTCGTGTTGCACTTCTAGGGTACTTCTAGGTGTATAATGTCGGTGGCTTCGGTGCAACCTTTCCACAGTTGCCAAAGGTTCCGGCAGGTGCTCCAAGCTCCAAACCAGCAAACTCTGCAGATTTAACCCGAACAGCCCCAAACCCCAACCCTAAACCCTGCAGATTATCCTGAACAGCCCTTAACCCCAACCAGCAAGCCATTCAGCTCAATCCACCAGGCACTGAAGGATCAATTCAAGGCCATTGGCCAGGTGGCCTTCTGCCAGGCACGGGCGCCTGAAGTTCACAGAGTAGCTTAGGGAAAAGGTTGAATAGGGTTTACTGTAGGGTTGAGGGATTGGAATTTGCGGCTTGTGGCTTATGGGGTTTAGGGATCGGGGGCTGAGGGAAGTTCAGATACTCGCCATTGCGGGCTTTGTCGATCGAGATTGGCGGTGAGGCAGTGCTGGAGTCTAGGTGACTAGAGTTCGAAGAATCTCAATTCGTTACATCAAGAAGCGCCCGAGTATAGGAGTGCACCTCAAGAGGCTGACTCTCTGGAGCTAGAGATCAATCATGCCTAGCAGATATCCACAAAGCCGCTGCGTCGCGATGACCGATTCCTTTTGTAGAATGTTGGTGTCTGCTTACGGCATGCTGTCAGTGTCGATAACGTCGATAACTGTGCATTTTGTTAAGAGAAAGTTGAGTCAATTTGTCGCACGCTCGCTATTCGGTGAGAATACGAAAAACTATGAAACAACATGGACTTCTTAATGTCGTGGAGTCCTTTGGGCGGCTGGGTATTTGTCTAAATTTCAAAAATCGACGCTGCTAGCCTCGTGATTTCTTGGCTCTTCGCCGAGCTAATCGTGAAGCCTATAAACCCTACCTGAACCCCATTAAATCCTCATTAAGGAACCCTAAAAAGGTGGGTTTCTTGGGGTCCATGTAGGCCCCAATGCCTTGTGGAAGGACCCGGACCTCAGCACAGAGACAAGCTGAATATATTGACAGAAAAAGCTCCACACTGAGCCCCAATCCCTAAACCCTGAACTCCAAACCCGAGCTCACCCTCTATAAGTCGTCTCTGGGCGCCCTTGACAACGCAGGTGGCGCCGGCACAGGCTGGCGAAGGGCTGCATAAACAGACCGTAACAGACCGTTCACGGATCAGGAAGCTGGGGTCTATAAGGTTTACTGTAACCTACCAGCACCTACTCTTTTGAGTTTCAGGGCTCATAATAAGAACCTTCAAAATAAGTGCGTGGTTTAGGATACCGTCGTCAGGGCTTATGTGGCTTGGATGCCTGGTGTGTTCATTTTTTGACTGCTTGAGGGGTCCAGTGTCCACCTGAGAGTTTAGGGTTTAGGGTAAAGTAGGGAAAATGATGGCCCACCGCCATTATTCTACATACTTTCAGGGTGCAGGTAGGGCTTCAGGTTGCACGGCCTTCGGTTCGAGCGTGCAAGGCATGCAGAGGGCAAGGTGTACGGCTCGAGAAGTAGGAGACCTAATGCTCGGGCCTTAGTATTTTGAATAGGGCGTAATTAGTGTTGGTTTGTATTCTGGTATACAGCTATCATTTGGAATAGGGTTGTTGGTCTATATTATGGTATAGCTACAGAAGCACCACCCGGGGATCCTATTACTGATTTGTCATTCCGACCGCTACATTACAACCTGAAGGCGTAGTGTCTACCGCCAGTGAGGGCCTTTTTTATGGTCTTGGTTTTTTTCAGGGTTCAGTGCTGTGGGAGTTGTGGGGTTTTAGACTTCTGGCATGTAGATTTCGGGGGCTTGTGGGTCTCGAATTCGTGAGGCTTGTAGGGCACAGAGTTTAGGGTGTTGGGCGTATGCCGGAGCCGTTTCGTTTTGTGTTCATCATCACAGCACTTCAGGAATGTGTACATTTCGACATATGTTCTTGGGTTTTTGAGAGGTCTTGAAGATGCGCCGTGCGAAACAGCCCACCCAGCCTTCCCATTGTGCGGACACGAGGAGCCACAGTCCAGGTGTCCTTCTTCTTACACAGATCGCTATGTGCTTCGATCTCTTGAAGCAACCTCGACCCCCCAAGCTACCCTCTATTCTACCCTAAATACCCACAATTACGGACCATAAGTGCTCCGTTAAAGGGTACTTGGGAGTTTCTGGAATCTCAGGGCTTTCAAGCGTCTGAACAAAACCTAGCCCAAGAGTTTCCTGCAGTTCGACAACGAGCTTGCCTTTGGAGCATGCCCATAGGCTCCAAAGTAGTTCCTTTTGGGGGTTCATAAATAGAATCCTATAAGGTAACCCCCAAAATAGGAACTACTTCGGAGCCTTTGGAGCATAGCTTACTGTGGCATTTTTGGGGCGGCTCCAGGCTCGCTTTCCTGGGTTTATTCTCTAGGTAGGCCTTTGGGACATTTTATATTTTCCCTTATTGGGCTTAACAGGGACCTATTTACGAATATTGTTCAGAGGCTTTAAAGGGCCAACCTAGTTCTATTCAACCTGGAGTTTCGTGGGCTGAGGCTTCATTTGCATAGCCTTACCGTGACCCAAAGCCACTGCCGGATGAAGTGTCCGATGACGCGGACCCAATTCAAAGGAAGGAGCAGATGCCGTGCAGAAAAGGCAGGCTATCTATCAGGCACAAGCTCAACCAACACATAGACTCTAAACCCCTGAACCCAAAACCCTTCCTCGAGGTTTGAGCGTTTCGAGACTGTTGGGATTCATGCCTTGTGGTTCCCACACTAAGAACCTCGAGACTCACCTAGTGGGTCACTGGGGCCATTCTCGTCCGTAATTGAAGACCCCTGAAAGTTCTGAAGTTTGCCGAACTCTGGCCAAAGCCGACAATCTAAACACAAACATTGATCTCTAAACCCTAAACCCTAAATCTCTAAACCTTAGTAATTAGTAAGCCGGGGAGGCCGAGGAAGCGGTCGCACCTTGGCACGGTGGCTTCGAGGACAGCATGCTGCTGATTGACATGCACTACTACTGTTGCTGCTGATTGTAAATGCGGGCACTACCACCGATGCTGTTGTTGTTGCTGCTGTTGTTGTTGTTGGTCTTGGTCTTGGTCTTGGTCTTGGTCTTGGTCTTGGTCTTGGTCTTGGTCTTGGTCTTGGTCTTGGTCTTGGTCTTGGTCTTGGTCTTGGTCTTGGTCTTGGTCTTGGTCTTGGTCTTGGTCTTGGTCTTGGTCTTGGTCTTGGTCTTGGTCTTGGTGGTGGTGGTGGTGGTGGTGGTGGTGGTGGTGGTGGTGGTGGTGGTGGTGGTGGTGGTGGTGGTGGTGGTGGTGGTGGTGGTGGTGGTGGTGGTGGTGGTGGTGGTGTCATGACTGCTGCTGTAATTGTTGTTGCTGACCTCAAACCACGCTTACGGATGTTCGTCCGCAGTCGCAGCCTCCACCGCCGCCCATGTTGAAAGCCATCGGCGAGGCGGCAGCGCTCGCATTGAACGTGTTAGTGTTAGGTTGGGTTTAGGGTTCCAGGCCCTCTAAAGCATATACCCTATGTATTTATAAACCATCAACGCTAAACCCTAGTGATGTTGGATTTTGGGGCACAGCCTGAGACCACTGACCTAGCTTCATCACAGTAACCCCTGGGTTCAGGGCTTAAGGCTGAAAAAGACCCTATGACTGGAGTTGAGCACAAACATTTTTTAGTTCTTCCGCGTCAGCATCGACATCTTCCGTCTTCAGGATGGGTGCTGCTTGCAACAACTTGGCTAATGCCTCCCACCATGTGACGCATGATCCGTCGCGTGTTGCGGAAGACATTGAGGTTGGAGAAGGTGGGTCTAGGGAGACTAATGTCGCACACATTAAACTGGACTCTACTGTAGTATTAGATACTATATTAGTTTAAGGCAGCAAAGTATAATCTACTATCCTACAGGAAAAAAATAGAATGCAACAACTCTGGGCTTGCTCCGTCTCGTTTGTTCAGTAGCCTGGTGAACCACGAAACCAGTTGCACATGCTCCCCTCTAAGCCGCCAAGTTTTTAAACACTGCATCTGATGCTGAAACGGTTTCGGGTTTCGGTGTCAGAGTTTAGGGTTTTGGGTTAACGGAGAATGCTTCAAAGCCAGAGAGTCTTCAACAAAAACTGAGTTTCAACGAGACGGTGAATTGCGGCGTGAATCGGTGTACTTCGAGCCTTGTTTCCCATACTGTCCTAACTGCGACCCCGTAAACTCGCAGACCCTCGTGCTTAAACTTGAGACCACAACCATGAACCTTCATCTCCCACACCCCTTGAAGTCTTAACGCATTTCCACGCCAATCACCCAGAGGTGCGGTACGATTCTGCCGCAGCCGCCGAGGATGCCCCTTTGGCAGCATTTAGGATCTACTGCGTTTGCTTGGCGCTAAACTTGCTATGTATGTCCTTACCTGAAGCCAACAGAACTTCACCATGGGTCGACGGTGACTGCCTGCACCCTGAAAGTACCAGTATGTGGAACTACTGCCTTGTATAGGTGTTGGGCCATAACTTTGCCTACTTGTAGGGTTCAGACATAGTCTAGGGTGGAGAGAATTCTCGGAGAGGTTCACGTCCATAAGTTCCGGGGTCGAAGCTTTGGCTCGGGGTGTCGAGTTGCGTTTGCGGGGGTTCCGCGGTTTTTATAGTACAATATGCCGCAAAACCCTATTCTAAATATTGGGCCCTTGTGTTAAACTGCCCTAAATCCTTAGCCTTGCACCCCAAACAAAGCCCTACAAGAAGAGGTGGAACTATTTCTTTCATCCTATGGCGGTAACCGCCCAGAGCTTGAGCAAGCATGTCGACCATCGTGCAATGGGCATGACTTCAAAACTATAGGAGCGTTAGTAATTACCTATACTATTCTGGTGGTTCCTTATTATATAGTTATAGCATGTTGGGCCCCAGAACCCTATGGCTTCAAAACTATCCTGAGACTCCAATATCCCTCAACTCAGGAATATTCCTTAAACTAGAGTAGGATCCTCAATATGATTTAAGGTATATTCCTTAATGAAGGGATATTGGAGTCTCAGGGTATCATGCAATTTACCCTGATGGCCTCCCGTAGAGCAACGCCAGGGCGTGGGGCACAGGAACACAAGAACGTACCCAGAGACTCCAATATCCCTTAATTAAGGAATATACCTTAAATCATATTAGGGATCCTACTGAGATTTAAGGTATATTCCTTAATCAAGGGATAGGGGAGTCTCTGGGTAGTATAGGGGCCGCAATAATCAGAATAGGGTCCCCTTTTTAAAGCGGTCTATGAGGGTTACTAGAAGGGACCTATAAGGGTAGTATGGTATTAGGGGCCTCAATAATTCGAATAGGGTCCCCTTTATAAAGGAATCATACGGGATACTATAAGGGTAGTATAGTATTAGGGGCCTCAATAATTAGAATAAGGTGTTGGGGCCCATTATACTATACTTATAAGGACCCCCCAAAATAGTATTGGTAATTATTTTAGGCCCCTCTAGTAAGGGCTTTTTAAAGCCTAGGCTTTTTGTTTAGGGTTTTGGGGTTGAGGGCATGACGGCTTGGCCTTGATGCTTCAGGTCAGGGAGTTTGTCCAGAGGCCCCATAGTAGTTCCTTTTTGGGGTTCGTATTTCGCATCCTATAAGGCAATCCCAAAAATGAACTACTTTGGGGCCTATGGGTAGGGCTCAGGATGTTATAGGGGTGTTGGCACCGAGGATTCCTGGGTCTTTTTGGGAGCTTCGGGCTTCTTGACGTTGGGTTTCGGGGCTCTAGCTCTAGGATTGAGACCTGAGGGTCTATAGGGATGCGAAGGCTCAGGGTTCTTCAGGTTTTGCGTTTTATAGGGTTTAGGGTATTTTGGTTTCGGGTTTAGGGTGCAAGGTTCAGGGTTTCGGGTTTGGGGTATTTTGGGTTTAGGGTTTAGGGTTCAAGGTTCAGGGTTTAGGGTAGTTTGTGTTTAGAGTTTAGGGTTTAGTCACAATCTCAGCTGCATCCGGCAAGTCTCCAGACCTTTCCCACAGCCCTTGAAACTCCGGAACTGTTTACCCTCTCAATAAAACGGCAAGGCTTTGTCGAAGACTAAACCTAAACATATACAGACCTTTATGACTTAGTAGCTGAGTACGTAGCCTTTGACCTTCTGGGGGGTTATATAACCCTACCGTAGTTGAGAAGTTATATTAATATGACTTGTTTTGGGCTAGGGTACTCAGCGACTGGGATGATAAGACCCTTTGATACCTTTTTTCTTACGGGAACCATTATGAAATACAAGTTTATACTTGTTTCTTCCTGGTCACTTAAACGCCCAGCTTAATGCCTACGGTTGATGATATAAGTCCTGCATCACCCAGCATAAGGAATATACCATAATTCCCATAGTCTAGAGTCCTTAAGGTAATGCAGGCTTTATATCATCACCCTAGACCCTAAACCCTAAACCCTATAGATCCCCGTAAAGGTACCCTTCTAGATCCCCTTAAAGGAACCCATTAGGATAAGTAGCTCCGTTCTTTGCGAGAGCTTTCGAGCCGGGCAAGACCTCAGGCGAAGAAGCGCTACTCTGGCATGGAGGTCCACGGCCACATTATCAATGTCAAGGCCGAAAGAGACGGCTGAAGCTTTTGGGTTCGGGGCTTTAGGGGTTCAGGGCTTTAGGGTTTAGGGCTTTAGGGGTATAGGGTTGAGGGGTTTAGGGGGTTTAGGGTCTGGGGGAGAGGGCGGAAGAGAGGAGTAGGCTACTACAGGGTTACGGGTGTTACTGGAAGGGTTCAATCTGGGTTGCTGTGGGCTTGCTGTATGGGTGACTCCGCTAACATATCAATGTCAAGGCCGAAGAAAGACTAGGCTTTTAAAAAGTTCGTTGGATTTGGGGTTCACGGGTTTGAGGTTCTTGTCAATGTGAAGGTTAACGGGAGAGGACTCTTTCATGCTCATGAGGGCTTCTAGTGCTTTCGCGTCTTTATGGCTTTAGAGTTTGGGATGCAGGGTTTATCGGTGTTCGGGTTTCAGAGTTAAGTTTGACGGCTGAAGGTCCGATTGCACGAGGGTTTAAGGCCCTTCGGGCGGGGAGGGCGCGGGGACGGACATGGTAGCGATCCCTGATGAGTGACTTTGAATGAGGTCTGTAGTAGGAGTAGGGTCAGTGCTCCAGGTTTAGTTCGCAATGCTTTGGCCTTTTACGATTTGGAGTTTCAGGATCTATTTTTATCGTTGAGGGTTCCAGCTTTTTCAAGCCTATCAAAAATCACCCCTAAACCCTGAAACCCTAAACCCTAGGACCCTAGACTCAGTATTCTAGACCGTATCTGAACCCTAAGCCCCAAAACCTTAAAACCCTAAGTCCTAAACTATCGGTTTGGGATAATAAAGCCCACAGTATAGATGATTTTCGGCACTGTTGATATCGACACATAGTTGATCAAGATTTCCCGCTGTGCTTCCCGTTACATCTTCATGCCTTATGCGCCCTTCACCCAAAACTCCTACGCATAACAAAGGACTCGGATAGTTGGGAACAGTTTCCTTAGCTTCGCGTAAGATGGGTATAGTGCAAAGTCATCATATGCCGTAAAGTTTAGCACAAAAAAGCAGTCATAAGTGGGGTTAGAAGTAGAGTAAGTATACTTATAACCCATATTAGGGGACTTCTAACCCCAGTTATAACTACCCCTGAACCTCCAAGTAAGGCCTTAAAAGCCCTAAAACCCTACACCCTTATAGCATCCCTATAGATCCCTTAAAAGGGACCCTCAAAGGAACCCTTATAACTACCCCTGAACCTCCAAGTAGGCGTCATGAACCCAAGTCTGAGAATTCATGGCTTTGCGAGGCGGATCTCACTTCGCGCGATGGCACACGTGTGCTGGTTATGGGCTGGCAGTACCCTGAGTTGGTGGGTTCGGCTTTGGGGAAACAGGGCGCGCCTGCCCATATCCCCAGAGGCTCCAATATCCCTTCATTAAGGAATTTTCCTTAAATCATAGAAGGATCCCTAGTATAATTTAAGGCTTTATTCCTCAGTTAAGGGATATTGGAGTCTCCGGGCCCCTAAACCATGAACCGTGGCCTGCCAAGGGGGGTTCAGGGTTTGGGGTCGTCACGGAGTTAGGGTTTAGGGTTTAGGGTTAGGGCTGTGAGGGCTCCTGCAAGTTCAGGGGTTTCGGGGCTCGTTGCCCCAGGGCCATCGTCTTGAACTCGAGTCGCAAACTCACTCGTTCTGAAGCAGATCACTTCAGTCATCCATGATGGCCTGGAAGTACGAGTTTCATTTCAGGGTTAGCTCAGGTCGGCTTGTTTCTTATAGGCATGACCGTTTGTTGCGGTTTCAGCTTGTAGAGGTTGGGGACGGTGCAACGAGTAGTAGTAGTAGTAGTAGTAGTAGTAGTAGTAGTAGTAGTAGTAGTAGTAGTAGTAGTAGTAGTAGTAGTAGTAGTAGTAGTAGTAGTAGTAGTAGTAGTAGTAGTAGTAGTAGTAGTAGTAGTAGTAGTAGTAGTAGTAGTAGTAGTAGTAAGTAGTAGTAGTAGTAGTAGTAGTAGTAGTAGTAGTAGTAGTAGTAGTAGTAGTAGTAGTAGTAGTAGTAGTAGCAGCAGCAGCAGCAGCAGCAGCAGCAGCAGCAGTAGTCGTGGTGGTGGTGGTTGTGGAGGCGGTGGTGGTATTAGTAGTAGTAGTAGTAGTAGTAGTAGTAGTAGTAGTAGTAGTAGTAGTAGTAGTAGTAGTAGTAGTAGTAGTAGTAGTAGTAGTATCCGTCGGCTTGCGCAGGGCACTTTGGATCCGGATTTATGGCTCTTGCACCCTCCCTCTCCCATTCGGTCATCACATCTGACGCAAGCCTCGAGCAGGATTCACGTCTTGAGGACTGGGATGATGACGGTGGTGATGCAATGGTGGTGATTGCCGAGGTTGTCAACAGTAGCTACCATAAGTTTACAGTAGCTTACTTCGGGCACATGTGTCAGTGCCATATTCAAGACAATTGACAAAGTAGCCTACACCCTAAACCCTCGAAGACCATATACACTCCTATAAAGCACTATAAAACCCTGCAAAGCCCTATGAAACCCTAAACCCTTTAAACCGGAACACCTCTAAAGCCCTGCCTTGCTGCCTTGCTCTTAGAACATCATCCCGGAAGGGAGCGCTTCAACCGTGGACCTGCAAGCGCTAAACCTTAAACCCTACTTGAAGGTTCATGGGATAGTTATAAGTAGGGTAACTATACTTATAACTTATAACCCATCGTAGTCGACTTATAACCCCACTTATAACTACCCCTGAATTTCCAAGTAATGTAGGAATCCGATTAAGAAACCTTGGGCCTTTTTTGGGGTTCCCTATATGAATCGTACTATTTTGGTGTTATAGGCCCAGGGTTTCTTAGTCAGGTTCCTACATTACCTGTTGCCGAAAAGACTTTTCTTTTGGGGGGAGGAGGTTGGGCCCCCGGTAAACCCCCAAAAAGTGTAGATCCCGGGCATAAGCCGTGGGTTCAGGGTTTGGGAGGCCAAACCTTAAACCCTACGTTCCAAACCCTGAAGCCCTCAAGGTTTCAGGCCTCTTTGCATGCTCTAGGGGTCTGGAAAATGACGAAGGGTATCTCCTTGCTAATGGAGGCGGCCTCAAATAATTACTTGGACTATTTTGGGGGGGCTCCCTGTTATAACGATAGGAGGAGAATGGGTCCCAAAACCCTATTCTAATTGTGAAATCCCGGAGTCTTTGGAGATGTCTTGTGTACAGCCGGGGCACTCGTCTTTCAACCTTTACGTACTGCTGAGGCATGCAAGGCTCAACGAGCGAACGCATTGGGGCCTCACGACTTTAATGGCATGTAGGAACACACTTGCTAAAACCAGCAGTTGTTCACGTGCGGTGTCGGTGTGAAAAGAAGCTTCTGTGTAAGCCTCCCATGGATGCCACCCCGTTGGAACTTCTGCTATAGTTACGGAGCTGTTCAGAAGGAGACGGTTGTCTTTTGAGACTGGCCTATCAGGCAGGAGGCGATATTTCACAGTGGAGATTAGAGGAGCTTCAGAGAGCATGAATCCGAACCAAAGCGATTTGCCTAGCTACGGAAGTACGAGTGGAAACCAGCAACGAGAAGATCAACAGGTTATGGGAGCCCAATCCACCGTAACCGCTGCGACGGAATTGCTGTCTGGAGACCAGAGTGAGACGAACGTCTCGCGTGGATTTCTGGATATGGATGGCGAGACTACCGCAGGCCATGTGGAAGAGAACAGAGGCGAAGGGAGGAGTGCAGGGTCCGAACCTGCATTGAGGAATCCTGGAGCTCTGTTGAACGGATCCAGTACGGCGGCGCCAAAGGCGACTCGGCCTTCAAGGTTGGGTGCTTTGTTGTCCGACGTGTCCTCGGCGGTGCAAGGAGCAGTGAAGGCTTCCCCGGCAGTGAGAGTGCAGGAGTCAGCAGAGAGGAGTGGTCCTGGGTCAGTGGGTACCGAAGGCACGATGAGGACTTCAGGGTCAGGATATGTTACTGCAGTGTCTGAAGGAGATGGGGCAAAGCAGTATCTGAGACCTGAAGTTGCCAACCAGGGTTTTCAGGCCCCTCTGTTTTCTGTAGAGCAAGCAGAGCGGCTGGAGACAATGGCGAAAGCGGCGCCCTTGATCTACCCGGAGGCGCAGGGCGTACCAGAGATTCCGCATTCGGTGAGTTCGGGTTCGGGAGACGCCATTCAACTGGAGGTCAGACGACAGTTGCAACAATTCATGGCTGTACAGGTAGAGCTTGAGCGTAGGGTAGTGCTTTTGCAAAGGGAGAATGAACAGTTGAGACGAGGAGACCCCGGGGTTGGAATGGACCAAGGAGTAAGAGGTTGGTTGGGAGGCTTAGGTAGAGGTCTAATGGGTATGGTGCAGCAGTCTTCGGCGAAGGCTGGATCGACCGCCTTCCTCACCACAAGTGCCGTGGCGTCCGTGTCTCAAGTGGGGCATGGACCAGCCTCGGGCGAGGTAAGCCAGACCGCCATGTTTCAAGGCCTCACTTCAGGTGTCCCCCACGGGATTCCGACTCCCGCCCATGGCTCAGCTACCAGTACAACGCCGCAGGCCGTTTTGGGTCAGGCGCAAGCCCCAATGCATGCAGGTCAGGTGCCAGGCACACACCAGGTTGCAGCAGGTCAGGCACAGGTTCCGGCACAAGTAGGTCAGGTCCCAGGTGCCTTGCAGGTTGCATCAGGTCAGGTGCAGGTTTTGGCGCATGAAGGCCAGGTCGCAAGCGCATACCAGGTCGCATCAGGGCAAGCACAGGCCCCGACGCATACAGGTCAGGTCCCAGGTGCCTTGCAGGTTGCAGCAGGTCAAGCACAGGTCCCGGTGCACGCAGGTCAGGTTCTAGGTGCCTTGAAGGCTGCAGCAGGCCAAGCACAGGTCCCGGCGCATGAAGGTCAGGTCCCAGGTGCCTTGCAGGTTGCAGCAGGTCAAGCACAGGTCCCGGCGCACGCAGGTCAGGTTCTAGGTGCCTTGAAGGCTGCAGCAGGCCAAGCACAGGTCCCGGCGCATGAAGGTCAGGTTGCCAGGTGCCAGGTTCAGTGCAACCCGGCCAAGCGCAGATGCCGCTTGGAGATCCGGTGACTTCGGGGTCAGGGCTAGGCGTTGATGCAGGAACAGGACACCCTTTCGGGTCTGCGCCGCCTATGACTCCATATGAAGCCATGATGTCAGGTATCGTCCAGTTGCAAGGAGTGGTCGCGAACCTAGCAGCAACCAAAGGAGCGACTGCCGGCACACACGCGGCGGGCACGGAAGTGGTCCGTCCGGGCATAAGTGAGCTCGCAAAGCTACCGTCGCCCACCTTGGAGGGCGCACTGGGATTCGCAGATTGGGTCCATGCCATTCGTCCTGCGATGTCAGACCTCTCCGATAGCTCGGGAGAGTGCTGGGAGCGACTGTTGTCGGATGCACAGGACTGGTATCACAACCAGTATGTCCCGGCCACTCCACTGGGCCGGGTCCGTACGAAGTACGGAACCTCTCCCGCAGAACGGGATGTCCGATGGACCAGGGTGAGACATCGCATGGAACATCTCATCATCCAGGCGTGTCCCGACACGGTAAAGTCCGAGTTGAGTGCAGCGAGGGTCAGCGGAGTGATGAGCTTGTTGTGCAAGCTCCACATGGTGTACAAGCCAGGAGGAGTGGCAGAGCGCTCAGAGGCCTTGAGGCAGGTGCAAAGCCCACAGGCGGCGGACTCGCCGATCGACGCGGTTCTGAAGCTGCGCACGTGGCGCCGCTGGCTGGTGCGACTCACGGACCTGGGAGGGTCCCCACCGGATCCGGCGGTATGCATCGTGGCCTTGGAGGCCATCACCAACAGCGTGTTGAAGAGTTTGCCCAACTTGGGGTTCCGGGTCAACTTGGTGCGGGCTTCTCTTAATGTGGACACTCAGCCCTCAACGACCAAGGTTTCGGAGTTCTACGAGCACTTGTTGGCTGAGCTCGAAGGGGTTTCCCGAGTGTCTCAGGCAACACCCTCCGCAGGAAGGTCCGACGCCAACAAGGTGCGACAGGTTGAAGCCAAGGTGTCATCAGGTGCCCCCGGTGAGAATGCCACCCCTGCTAAGACGCACCCTAAGTCCTCAATCCCAGCGGGCTCAGGAGGAGATGCAGCAAAGAGGTTGTGCAAGTGGTACCATGAGGGTAAAGGTTGTAAAAAGGGCGGTGAATGCACGTTCGGGCATGATTGGTCAGCTATCCCGAAGAGCGAACGGGCTGATCGCTGCATGAGGTGTGGAGGCACAGGCCACCGGAAGGATGCTTGCACTGCCCCAGCCGGGACACCCAAGGTCTGAGGCGAGCCCCGGTAAGAGCCACCCTAAGGACCAACCCCATAAGCCTAAGGCGGACGCAGGTCTGAAGAAGGTGCTGTCGGAAGCGGCAGGCGTCTTGAGGGAAGCATTGCGGTCTACAGGAGGTGAGGCGGAAGGTCAGCAGGAAGGCGGCTCGCCGAATGCCAAGGCAAGCAATGGAGGATCTGAAGGGGCCTCCCCAGCTGCCAGAGCAGCTATGGACCCGCCGGTGATGGCTACTGCGGCAAAGATCGAGGCTCAGTTGCAGGATTTGGAGGCCCGAGTTCTGGAAGGCAACGCCCGAGTAAGAGCAGTTTCGGTTGAAGATAGCGGCGGCGCCGAAGAGCCAACAGCTCTTTTGGACTCGGGTGCGACCCATACGGTCCTGGATCCTACGGCTGTGAAGGCCAGTGATGACTTGTTGCCCTGTATGGTGTCTCTGGCAGGAGACCAGAAGCAACTGTGGAAGCAAACGCCAGGGGGTTCCCTTGTCGCTCCGCACAGGGACGGAGGAGGAGAGACGCAGACGATCCTGCCATTAGGATCGCTGATAGAGCAGCTGGGCTGCAGTGTCAAATGGTCTCGAAAGACAGGGTTGCAGCTGATGCACCCCCGTTTGGGGAAGCTTGACACCAGCATGCGTAGCGGATGCCCTCAGATCAGCAAGCGTCAGGCCCTCCAGTTAGTCCGAGAGCTAGCGGGGGCCCACGTGGGAGAACTTGAAGGGCGATTGAGAAGGATCCAGTCTCAGATTGCCGCGCAAGGACACCAGGAGTTTCAGGCGATCCTGGATGAGTTCGTGTCTAGTGGTTCGCAGGTCTCCTCGCAAAAGCTTGTTGACCGGATGCCGTTTCTTAGGGAGGTACCGCCTCGTGTCTCCAGCAGGTTGGCCACCAATCTGGAAGGTGCCCAAGGTTGGGAGTTGCTCAAGGCGTTGCCGTTGAACCGCAGGATGCGGAAGCGGTTGCACAACTCATCCTCGTGGGTACTGAGTCTGTGCAGCGGAAGGGGTGACCCTAAGTTGAGGGCTATGTGTCAGCAGCAAGGGTATGATTTGGTGGAGGTGGATGTGCAATTGTCCCAAGGTTGGGACCTCACCGACGCAACCCTGTGGCGAGCGATCTCGTGGGCAGCGTTCACTGGCCGAGTGGCAGCTGTGATTGCAGACCCCCCAGTGAGGTCGTGGCAGCGCATGAACACCGCAGAAGGTCAGGCGCAACTGAGGTCCGACGCAGAACCATGGGGTGTCAAAGGGCTAAAGGATTCTAGTCAGATGAAGTTGGACAATGATGTTCTCTTGAGCCTTCAGCCGTTGTGGGTTTGTACCGTTGCATCGGTGGCAAGGGGCCAAGGAATTCCAATCTGCGTCACCGAAGGTGAGTTGGCGAGCGTTCACACAACGGTTGTGAAAGAGAAAGTGATGGAGCCGTTTGCAAAATGGAGTAATTGCCGTTTCTACCAGGCACCGTGGACTGTGAAGGGAGCGCAACACACGAGGCCACTGCGTGTGTGCAGCAATCTAGGGTTTAGCCCGGAAGCCTTAAGTGGTTTAGCAAGCGCAGACCCGAAACCCGATGTCGCGACCCCGACGTGGCCCGAAGGCTTCAGATGGCAGTTACGTGCAGCTCTGTTCAGTCAAGGCGTCCATTGTCAAGGGGAACCGAAAGGGACCCCGAGTGGCCACCACGAGCGGGACCAGGCCCGAGGTTCAGCTGAGGAGGAGGAAGGTCCGCAATCGGGTGTGTGCCATCCCCGTCAGATCAAGGGTGAGCGAACCGAGGTGCCACAGGTCAAGGCCATTGACTTAGGAGAGCAGTCGGATCAGGAGTTGATGAAGGAGTTTGCTGCCGTCCCCTTGGAAGGCGATGAAGAAGGAGTTCAGGCCATGCCCGCGGAGGCGAACCAACCAGCAGAACCGAACCCGACCTCAGCGCTTTCGCCCGAGCAACGGGAGGGGTGGCGAAGGCACCTAGAAGCACATCACATTCCGTTCCGCAAGGACTGTTTGCAGTGCGTTATGAGCGGGGCGCTTGGCCTGCAGCATAGAAGAATCAAGTGTCCCAACATGTATGCCCTAAGCTTTGACCTCGCCGGACCCTTTAAGGAGCTAGGCAAGAACGAGCGTGGAGGGAAATACAAGTATGCCCTTGTAGCTGGACTGAGAGTGCCTAGCGTTGCCCTGCCACCAGAGCCTAGTGGGCGTCGTACAAAGAAGGGTTCGAGACCCCCAACGCCGGAGGCCTTGCAGAGTTCCGGTACCTCACAGGAGAAGCCAGCTCCCCTCGCAGAGGGTATGAGCCCCAGGGGGCCACCGGATCAGGAGGAGGATGAAAGGTATGAGGCCAGTTTGTTCGACCCCTCGGACTATGATCCGGAGGAGTTCGAGGATGGGGCAGCAGAGCCAAAGGGGTTGGAAGAAGAGGAGCCCCCTGCCACCGAGGCGCCGGACGTGGACCCCTGGGAAGACACCCAAGGAATCTCTAAGTTGAGCGATGAAGAGTTTGATAAAGAGATTGCCAAGTTGGGGTTTAGCGGGGAAAACAAGGTCTTGCGCTTTATGGTTCCGATGAAAGGCTAAGGGCGTAGCGGGGCACACATATTGCCAGCACTGCAAGAAGTGGTCACCGAGTGCCAGCGATTAGGGTTTCCCGTGAAGACGGCCCATACGGACCGAGCTCGAGAGGCCGTGTCCAAGGCCACCACCGATTGGTTGCAGTCTCAGTTGATCCAGCCTTCGTTCACGCAAGGAGATGATCCCAAGTCAAATGGGTTGGCCGAGCGGTTGGTTGGTTGGGTTAAGGCTAGGGCCCGGTTGCACTTGTCAGCGGCAGGACTAGGCTTTGAGCATTGGCCCACCGCTATGGCTCTAGCCTGTGCTGAGCACCGTCACCAGACTTTGGGGTTGCCAGGTAGGGTGCATCAGTATGGGCAGCGGGTAGTGTTCAAGTCCAAGCACCCGACAGGAGAGTCAAAGAAGCCCTTCTTGCGTTGGGAGTATGCCACTTACTTGACTCCCACCACGCAAACTGATCAGGGCCATGTGTTGCTGAGGGAGGCCACTGGAGGCTACCTGATTGCCCGAAATGTCAGGCCCACTAGCGAGCTTGTTGACCCCGAAAGGGAGCTAGAGGTGCAGCCAATGTTGGAGGCAGAGGTTCCTGATGAGGCCCCACGTGAAACTCCGGAGGTGTTGAGGCGCGTCACCGGAAAGAGGGCCGTAAGGGCCGTCACAACAGCCGCAGAAGCACTAGCCGAGGAACTTACGAAGGAAGCCGACTACAGCCCGGAGGCGTGTGGTAGGTTGTTGCAGCTAGCCTTTGGGGGAGCCATCAACAACTCGCGTAGGATGCATCGGGGTTCCTTTGGGTTTTCAATCGTGCTTGGTGCTTATGGCCATGGCGGACTTAGAGGGATAACTCGTGCGACGCAGGCGCACCAGAGGTTGTGTGCGTACCTCAACAGCTACTTGCAGCGTGGTGCGAGAACCCTGACAAGGGCTCCGCAGTGGTCTGCAATCACAGTTGTCCAAGCAGATGAAGTTGGGGTGCACCGGGACGTAAGGAATGAGCCAGACACTTTGAACTTCTTGTCAGCTGTGACCAGTCGCCAGTTGTGGTTAAGTGAGCTATCAAAAGAAGGTGTTGAAGGGGCACAACCGGTGAACAAAGGAGTTGTGGTAACAACCCCGCTTGGAGCAGAAGAGGCAGGCGTTGAGCACCACCTAGGATCCCGAGTGGTTTCCTTTGATGCTCGCCATTACCACGCCCTATCACAAGCCACCAGTTGGGTTGTAGCTGGTTATAGTCCCCTTGGCACCACAAAGCTCCCAGGCAAAGACCTAGATAGGCTAAGGGAGCTAGGCTTTAACCTCCCCATGACTGTCCAAGGTGAGGAGGCACAGGTATGCAAGCTTGTGGGGCCCAACCCACAAAGGATGCCCATGCCCCGTGCAAGACGGCTTCAAAGGATGCCAGTGCAAACTCAGCACTTGAATGTGCGTTTCGCAAGAATCCCGCCGGAGGAGTGGAGGATCCTTTGTGAACTGGACGAAGCGCAGTTTGAGCAAGGCATGGAGCGGTGGACTAGGGTTCTTAGTGGGGCTGATGAAGTTGGTGTAGGCCGCTTGTCAGGAGCAATACCTCGGGGATTGCTGGTGGGAACTTTGCGAGATGGAAGGCAGTGGCGTGATGATCCCATTTTGGAGTACCGTACACCAGACGGTAGGGCGGTTCCAGTAGCGCGTGTCTTGCAATTCACAGACGACGACAGCATGTACCTGGATGACTCGCCGTTCCCAGATCGGTTGATGATGTTTGATATCATCGACTTGGAAAGGAACATCAATGAGGTGATTGTAATTCGGGTTCTAGTTGAGGAAGTAAGGCAAGCCCCACCCATGATGACCGAACGGATCCTACAAGAGCCCGGGCCCCCGCCGCCAGAAGTCATGGCTGTTCAGGCAACAGGCAATGCGGCTTCATCAAGTGATCCCTTTAGCAGTGTCCCGAGCCAGCTTCCGGTTCCCTTGCCCAACCCTACCGCGTTGAAGCGGCGCACGGCTGAAGCGGTCCCGTTGCAGCCGCCGTTTCAGGAAGCACAGTTTGTGAAGAAAGCTGAAGTAGCAACCACGGACAACTTAGAGGTGCTTCTGGAAGGACTGCAAGAGCCTCTGTGCGTGACGCACACTGCGTCACAGGGTGAAGTGCGTCAACATCTACCCCGGTGGAAGGCAGCCATCCAGAAAGAACTTGATGCCCTGAAGAACCCAGGTGTGTTGAGGAGCCACGTTGGAGAAGAGGCCCGCAGGCTTCTTAACAGCTCAGACACCACTGTGATACCTTTGAAGGGCGTCTTCACAGCCAAAGCTCCAGCCGCAGGAGCCAAGGAGCTTTACAGGCGAAAGTGTCGCCTGGTGGCGTGCGGAAACCAGGCACCACACAATGACGCAGAGTCGCTCTATGCGAGCGGAGCACCCGCGGAGCTAGTCCGTGCCTCGTTGGTCAAGGCCAGCGCTCACCGATGGAGCGCTTTCACGTGCGACATCCGTTCAGCCTTCACTCTGACTCCAATCCCGCGAGAAGCAGGGGCCAGATATGTGCTGAGGCCACCTCGGTGGCTCATCGAGTTGGGCCTTGCGGAGCCCGACGAGTGCTACACCCTGGGAAAGGTCCTATATGGCTTCAGAGAAGCACCGGTCTGGTGGGCAGGATATAGGGACGAAGTTCTACGTGAAGCAGTGTTTGAGGGATGTCGCCTCGTTCAAGGGAAGGCTGATCCCAGCATTTGGAAGATCATGAACGGGGAAGTGCTGAAGGGATATCTGATCACCTACGTGGACGACTTCTTGGTGTTGGGAGAACGAGCTACAGCCTTATCCTTCCATCAATGGATCCTGGAAAAAGCGAAATGGGAGACAGACGGCCTCTCAGAAGCTAAGCCAGGACACCCGGTGAGGTTTCTGGGCATGCAGTTGGAGAAGAAAGAGGACGGGAGCTACACCCTGGATCAGGAATCCTATGTGGATGAGCTCATCAGGGCCCATGGCTTGACTGCGTCAATGAAATCCAAGGTCACTTGCCCAAGAGAAATCATGTACGGGCAAGATGAGGAGGTGGTTGGAAGTGATGATTCCTCAGCAGAGGACGGAGAAGCTGTCCTAAAGCAAGCCCAGCGGCTAGCAGGAGAGTGTCTGTGGCTGGCTCAGCGGACTAGGATCGACATTTGCTACACAACGTCGGTTCTGTGCTCGTTGGTGTCATCGGAGCCACACAGAGCGGTCGCCATAGGAAACCGCCTGCTTATGTACCTGGCACAAACAAAGAACTACAAGTTGACGATGAAGGCGGACGATTCCGCCCCCACTTTGCGGATCTACACCGACGCCTCCTTCTCTCCAGAAGGGAAGCACTCCTACGGAGGCCACATCCTCGAGTTCAAGGGAACCCCGGTTGTTTGGCGCGCAGGACGCCAACAGCTCATAGCGATGAGCTCAGCGGAATCGGAGTTGATTCAGGTGATCGAGGGATGTACCTACGGAGAGTCTTTCATGGCTTTGCTGGAAGATTTGGATGTGAGGTGTGAAGCCGCTCAGGTGGAAGTCGACAATACAGCAGCAATTTCCCTGGTGAAAGGGGGTTGTTCCCAGAGAACAAGGCACCTCAAGGTACGAGGAGCCAAGCTGAACCAGTTGTTGCAACAAGGGTGGACGCTTGGCCACTGTCAAGGGGTGTACCAGAAGGCGGACATTCTCACCAAGCCCTTGCCGTCAGCTAGGCTCAGGTTCCTGTGCGACCTCTTGCGCTTAGGAGCCGCAGAAGGGGAAGCTGAAGGTGCAGTGCCTAAGGTTCAAAAGGCCCAGGGATTCGGAAAAGTGGTTAAGGTCTGCTTAGTTGGTTTGTTGACTTCGCTGCAAGGTGTAGTGTGCAAGGGCGAGGAAGCCAAACCCGCCCTTCAAGTGGAATGGCCATGGGAGTTGATGTTGGCAGTGTTGTTGATAGTACTGTCAACAGTCTGCCTATGGGAGACTTTGCGAAAGGGAGTCACAAGCAAACACGGGGCGGAGCCTACCAGTCTTCCCCGCGTTCGGGCCGTGTCGGCTACCAGAGAGCGAAGAGCGAAGAAGCTTCGAGACCGTGTGGCGGCAGCCATTGACGCCGCGGTTAGCGAGTCTAGTCCCACAGGCAGCGAATCTACCACCCAGCCACGTAAGGGCCACAACAAGTGTCCGAGATCACCCAAACAGCCTGAGGTGATGCCGACGCAACCGCAGCCAAGTGTTTATGGCGGGGTTAACATCAACCTGATGCATGGCCCAGGGGATACGCAACCGGATGCTGCAGTAGCCCATCGGCTTGTGTACGGAGACCCATCCCTTGCTGGGAGTTCGATACCGACCGGAGCGGTAGCACCACCACCGCAACCCGCTCGCCTACTGTGGGAGCAGCCACCGCTCCAATCCGCGTCGTCGTCGAATGCTGCTGCATCGGTTCAGGGTCAAAGGGAAAGGGTAGTTCCAGGTCCATCCCAACCTCGAACCGTTTCTCAAGTGACCCAGACAGACCCAGTGATTGTTCTCCATCCCGAGGCTTCAGTGTATTCTTCAGCTGGGGGGCATTGCATTCATTGTGAGATTGGGTGTCGGGGTTTGAGAAATGCGGGTCACATTCATACGAAAGGTATCTGTCAGTACTGCCTAAGAAAGGCAGGGCCACGAACTGGTTTTTAGATTTAAAGGTGATGCTAAGCTGACGCTTGCATCAAGGAGGAGTGTGAAATCCCGGAGTCTTTGGAGATGTCTTGTGTACAGCCGGGGCACTCGTCTTTCAACCTTTACGTACTGCTGAGGCATGCAAGGCTCAACGAGCGAACGCATTGGGGCCTCACGACTTTAATGGCATGTAGGAACACACTTGCTAAAACCAGCAGTTGTTCACGTGCGGTGTCGGTGTGAAAAGAAGCTTCTGTGTAAGCCTCCCATGGATGCCACCCCGTTGGAACTTCTGCTATAGTTACGGAGCTGTTCAGAAAGAGACGGTTGTCTTTTGAGACTGGCCTATCAGGCAGGAGGCGATATTTCACAGTGGAGATTAGAGGAGCTTCAGAGAGCATGAATCCGAACCAAAGCGATTTGCCTAGCTACGGAAGTACGAGTGGAAACCAGCAACGAGAAGATCAACACTAATTATTGAGGCCCCTATATTATCATTCTTATGGGACCTCTTATAGACCCCTTACATCACCCTATAGAACCCTTTAAAGGAACCGTCTTCGAGTTATTCAGGCCCCTACTTGGAGGGTCGGGGGACTTAGTAAGTAGGTAGTAAGTAGCCTAAAAGGGACCCTAATTGGGGTTATGGTACTTATAAGCCCCTAAAATAACCAGTTACTTAGTCCCCTAAGTCCCCTAAACCCTAAACCCTCATAGAATCCCTATAGATCCCTTTAAAGGAACCCTAAAGGAACCCCTTATAGACCCTGGTTACTAAGTCCCCCGACCCTCCAAGTACATTATGCCAAGGCCCGCTGCAGCCTCGTGGCAGGAGCTCAAGCACTTGCTGTCGGCCGGGGCCCCAAACCTTACTTGGAGGGTCAGGGGACTTAGTAACTGGATATTTTAGGGACTTATAAGTACCATAACCCCAATTAGGGTCCGTTTTTAGGGTACTTATAAGTCTACTTACTACCTACTTACTAAGTCCCCCGACCCTCCAAGTAGGAACCCAGAAAGCACGTAAGGGCCCATAAGGGTTCCTTTAAAGGGATCCATAAGGGTTCCAAAAAAGGGATCCATAACGGTGCAAGATAGGGTTGGGATAGGGCTTATTTAGGAACCCAAAAAGCACATACGCATCAGCATTTTATAGGGATATCCCGACCTTATTGGGCTTCATTATAAGGGGGTTTATATGGTATATCCCTATCTTAATTTTTGCTTATGTGCTTTTGTGGGTCCCTAAACCCCAAAAGTCCGAACCACCCGGAACCCGAAGTCTAACCCCTTACAGTAGCCCTTGATGGATAGAGGGAAGAGGGTTCTGTAAGGGTTTAAAGAGGGATTCTATATTAGTGGCCTTGATATTCAGCATAATTAGGGTTTTGGCGCCCATTATACTTCGACTATTATAGCCCTAAATGGTTGATATGGGGTTCTATAAGGGTTTATGGAGGGATTCTATGAGGGTTTCCATAATGCGAACCGCCCGAAGCTCATAAATCCCAAACCGGCTGCGGGCTTTGCTCTCAAGTCCTGAATCCATCGCATCCGGGATCTTCGTGCCGTAAGAACAAGGAAGACCACCCATGCCGACTTTCAAAACCCTGAAGGATATAAGTTATAAGGCCGACCCCAGAAAATTGTAGGTCATGGGTACCAGGATGTTGCAACTGTTGATGTGATGAGGTTGGCAACTTTGGAGAGGTTCTGTCCACATTCCCACTACAGCCAGGAAATCCTTGATTCGCACTGTCAAAGCATCCACCCTAAAGTTGAAAAGTGCTTAAAAACGAAACTGTTGAAACTGACATCTTCACCCCTCGATTTCATAAATCCTCAATCGACACCCGCCTCAATCTCAGACCAGCCAAGACAAGTAGCTGCACTAATAGGTCGCAAGAGAAATTGAGAAGTCGTAACCCGAAGCACCCTCCTGAACCTCACTGAAGCCTAAACCACATTGAACCCAAACCCCATACAATACCCCGAACCGTACGAAGCCTTTCAGAGCCCTTGTACAGCCCATGCAAACTGTTGTAAGCCAGTTTTCGGCATCCTCTTCGAGCGATTGTCCAAGCCTCTGAACCCATTTGTCAAGTCCGATTATGCTCTACAACACCCCTCTAAAGCACGAAACCTTAAGCCCCAAACCTTAAACCCTAAACCTCGTCAACCCCTAACCCATGCACTGACAAACCCGTTCGCCGATGAGGCCGCATATCCCGTGGCCCATGCCAAGGTAAGCTCTTCTGGCTTTTAGGGTTCGGTACCTGTAATGACTGCGGTAAGGGATCTGCAAAGGTTGGTAAAGGGGTTTTGTTTCGGGGCGGCATGAGAAGTTTCCGAAATTGCGATCCATAGGATCCTCCGTGTAAGGACCAATCAATGAGGGATCCCCAAACCCCGGTCAGCACTGCCCTGCCACTCTCCTTGTATGCCCTGCACCGTTCAGGACGTGGGGCTTGAAGATGTTTGAGAAGGATGTCAGGGTTCAGGGCTTTGGATTCAGGTGATTTAGGTGGTTAGGGATATTGGGGAGAAAGTAACCCCAGTTTCCTCTATTCCGCCAACTTACTCGCCCATCGGTGTCCGACCCTACTATTGGGTTCTATACACGGCATACGTATCCGGCTTATGGTCTGCATTGTAGTTACTTGTCTTGGTTAACCCATTTTGAAATTATAGGGTCCTATAGTAACATAAGGGTGGATACTCGCATAGACCACTCCACAGTTTCCTCCACCATGCCACAACATGAAGTGACGTCCCGAAGCATGGTCAGTGTTCTTCGTAGGAAAAACCTCCAGTTCGGATTCGAAGCCAAGGATACATGAATGGTACCCTTATAGATCCCTGAAAAAGGGGCCGACACGACAGGTACGCTTATATAGATGTAAAACCCTAAACTTAACCCTAAATCCTAAATCCAAACCCTTATAAACCCTAAGCCCCGAAACCCCAGAAGGCTCAGTGGGCCTAATTAAAACCCGAAATCCTGTACCACAGAACCCTAGCTGCCATAAACTTGCCAAAATCCAAACCCTAAAACCTGTGCCCGACGCCCTGAGCAGCAAACCCTCAGCCCGAAACCGGGTGTTCCGGGGTTCAGTGTCCAATTGTGCCAGTCTTAGAGCATCGGGACTCCTCTTTTTGCTAGCACGAAAAGCACCAGGTAGGGTTTGGAATTGGTAGTGGTTTCCTCACTTCAAGCCTATAGGCCTTCCAAACTCTCGAAATTTAGTTCTGTTGTAAGTCATGTTCACAGAGACCAGGGTTTACGGTTCTGAAACAGGGTTTAGGGTTTACAGTTCTGAACTACTTGGAGGTTCAGGGGTAGTTAAAAGTGGGGTTATAAGTCCCCTAATATGGGTCACAAGTATAGTTACCCTACTTACAACCCTACGTATAAGTACCCAGGAACCTCCAAGTACAGGACGTTGTAGTCTTTCGTAATTCTCTGATGTCAGGTGCAGGAACTGCCCGGGGCGGGGCAAGCTGCCGCGCCCAAGCCACCCATACTTAGCATGATGGGGCGCCAGGCCATATCCTGAGATCTTCTGTGGGGTTTAGGGGTTGAGGGTTTAGGGGTTTATGGTTGAGGGGTTTGGGGTTTAGGGCCGTTTAGGGGTTTATAAGGTTTAGATTTTATAGGGTTTAGACTTCAGGGTTTAGGGTTCAGGGCGTAGCCTCTGACCACATGGTGGTCCACTGCGTCTCGTTCACACAACCGCACAAAGCAAAATCACCATCTTCTTCCCACAGTTCGCCATAATACATGTTGCCCTCTGTTTCTAATTCTACATCGTACCGATTGTGAAAACTGTTCTTGCGTTTTCCTTGATGGTGGTACTGATGCTGCTGGCTTCTGTTCTTTCCTTTGTCTGTTGCGCCTGGTCCTCTTGGCGCTGCCACAGCTGCGTGCTGTTGCTGTTGGCTTACCAGAGATAATTTAGGGTATACTCCTTAATCAAGGGATATACATTAAATCATATTAAGGATTCTACTATAATTTAAGGTATTTTCCTCAATTAAGGGATATTGGAGTCTCTGGCTTACCCTGCCAACTGGAGAAAGGTCGAAGATGCGGGCTGTCAGGACTCGGGCTGCCGCTGTGCCCAAAAGACGAACCCTAAACTTTTAAAGTAAAAGCCAGAAAGTTGGAATTTGATTATCCTAACCCTTCTATGGTAAATTATAGGGTATCCTACCATGAAACCATATTCCAACTTTCTGGAGTTCGCTTTACCCAGAGAGCCCGATACCCCTTAATTGAAGAATATAGCTTAAATCATAATATGACGGCCTATATAATTTAAGTCATATTCCTTAATTAAGGGGTATTGGGCTCTCTGGGAACCCTAAACCTTTAACCCTAAACCCTAACCCTTAAAACCCCAACCCTAAACCTTTAAACCCTAAACCCTAACCCTTAGAACCCCAACCCTAAACCTAAACCCTGACCCTCAAGCCCTAAACCCTAAACATAAACCCTAACCCTTAAACCTAAACCCTAACCCAAGAAGCCCAGGAATTCCCGGCCTGCCAAGGCCCAGGATCGTCAACACCTAACCATCCTAAACCCGAAACTCCTTCATATGGGGGCCTCAATAAGTTCCTGTACCGTTTTGGGCGCTCCTTATTATGATTATAGTATAGATACACCACAACGGTTACTCTAATTATTAAGCCAAAAAGCCAACACCTTCAACCCTAAACCCTAAGCCCCGATCCGCAGACTCGAAAAGAGCCCCCCCCAAACAAAAAAAAAAAACATAATAATAAACAATATATATATATATATATATTAATATTAATATATATATATATATATATATTTTTCTAAACACCTCAGAAAGGCTTTGAAAGCCTTAGCAAGCCGAGGCCATGTCCATGGCTGCCATGGCTCCTCCTCCAGCGATGGCTCGACCGACCTCATCAGCTGTGGGCGAGGTGTGCCGGGTTTTTTTTATAGGGTTTACTTGGAGGGTCGGGGGACTTAGTAAGGGGATTCT